TATTTCTTAATATTTGACAATTACAACTAGTCATATATTTTATTGGTATGAGTTTTATGTTTATTTATTCTCGTTGTATAGTTTAAAATGAATCTGTTGTAGTCTCGATTGGGTCTTGAGACGTAATTGTTAGTATCTAAAGTAGTTCTCATGTTCTAATGTACTCTACGGGCCAGCATTTTAGATGCTTCGAGTATTACCGTCCTCTAGTACAATGCACATTGAGGCCATTACTGATCATAATGTTAAGATTACCATTATGGTATACCTCGGATTCCTAACTGCCAAGACCCTCATGGACCCGATATAAAAATTAATAACGCGTGTTTTATTTAAAGATTCTTCTTTCTCCAGGCACATATTAATCGACCATCATATTTTTTGCTTTTGCTTAATTTTAAAGTTTATAAAAACGATCATATTTTTTCATTAGTATTGTTTGATTTTCATATTATTCTTTAATACGTACGTCATTTATTTTTTAGTGAGTTTTGAAGGCAATTAATAAAAAAAATGACGTCATCTAACAATATAATTTTAAAAGTAATGGGGAGAATTTTCTGAGTGATGAGCTTGAAAAAAATTACGCTCGTAAATGGTTTTACAAGCCCCAGCATGCGGAACCTTCAAGACATTATAGTTAATAGTATAGCGAGGTACCTAACTACATAGCAATATCGATAAATTGCTAAGCTCAGCTTTGCTTCAAGACACTGCATTGCTTACTCATTGCGCAAGCAATTACTATTATTACGCATTTCTAACCATTTTATATTTTAAATACAATCTATATTTTCTCACAAATATATCAATTAAATTATATTTGATTTTAAATTAAATAAATTGAATTGTTCGATCAATAATAATTTTAAATTGTATCCTGATCTAGGAAGTATTCTATTAGAGGACTATACTGTTAGGGCTTTTATTGATCGTGTGCATGTACTAAGTCGTGCTGCAATTTAAAATCTAGGTCGTGCAACCGAGTACTGTGTACCTAACATACCTAACACGTAGACACATCACCTACAGATTTTATAATACAAATAAACGTCATACAATGGCTGGTCTTAACTGTAGTTTTATTTTAATTATACAGAGGGCCGTTAATACAATTTTAATATTATAAGACCTGTGGGACAAGTCTGTTTATTTTTTCGTTTTAATTAATACCGTTCCCGTGAGCTGTGACAAACGTACCTAATCTGAGAGCCACTTAAAGTAAACATGCGTCCATTTGCATTCGCCAATATCCAGAAGCGAGGCGAATGAACCAATTAGTTATCTACTTCACATAAAATAATGTTCAGAGACCCCTTGGGAGGAAAGTTTTATGGGATCAAGACAGACATTTCTACATACGTTCATTCGTTCGTTCGTTTGCTCTTTTAATCTCTTATGAACATATGATTGCTATCAATTTATATGTGTATAAATATTGTATAGAAGTAAATAAGTTGTCGTAAATATTAAATAATTTTCCCATCTTATATCAAATAATTTGTACATTATGGAAGTGAGGCGTGTGAAAAAAATAATTTTGCTTTGTAATTTTATATTCCGTTCGCATTTGATCGTTTATACCTGACAGGAATATGGCATGCAATGATTTTAAAATGTTACATACACCTAGCGAGCCGGTAAATGGGTTTGTTAACTGAGATGCGTAAATTCACGTCTATTAATACACGCACCTATGCAACAGTGTTAGAACAAGGCGTCGTTAAACCACACACGACATTTGTGTCGAGGAAGCCGTAAAGGTTTTTAGTGACATTTACAAAACCACAGTTTTACAGTTAATTGCATAGCAAGTTAACCGTGCGCTCGTAAATCAGACTGTACACTTGTAGCCGCTCCGATAAATGCTTTTAAAATCTAGCTTCCGCTAGTGTTCACCTGTTAAAGGAACATGTGATAACGCTCGAGTGTCTGACACACTTTCATTGAATTTCCGTAGATAGTGGCCGACGCCGTTTTACCTATAAATTATCGTGGTATTTCTAAATACCATTGTTTCTATGTTGGCTTTATCGATTGACGTATCTACTGAGTCATGTTTAAGTGTGTACAATACTACCAAGCACTTACGTGAATGCGGTTAGAGATATACGGAAGTCATTATGAATATCTAGCTATGTTTAAAATTTGGAAAAAATATATACCTAAAGCCTGAAATCTGCATTGACCTGAAAACCGTATTAATAATTTGATAAGAAGATATATTTTACAGTCGACTAATATCGCGAGCGTTATCTCAGTCAAGTTCGTTATACTTTCGGAGTTCTTTTTTTATCAGACGCGGTTATAGTGAAGTTTGGGCCAATTGGAAAATAAATTGGATGTGGGCAGCTCTGTAGGTGGAGGCCTTGCGAAAGGCGGTTAGAATTAGACAATTACAAATCCATGTTTTAGCAATATAGTCTCTATTCAAATAATATTTCAGCGCATATTCGCAAGCTGCTTGTTAGAGTCAAATTTGGCGATGTTGGCATTAATTATGTCCGGGCTTGTCACGTACCTCACCAAATACGTACGAAGTGTAACGACCAACGCTCCATGTTCGTCGACGTCCAGGAAGGAAATTGTGTGATTGTACTATTTATTAGATTGTCTTTTGACTGTTTAGAATTGAAATGCAATTTCGGTTCGCATTTCCGAAGTTCCTGCGTCCGGTTCTGAGATCAATGAACCGGTCGGGAAGCAATTAACTGTCATTTGGGAGGTTTTTTTTTATATAAAATTTTATTACACATACATTGATTACAACAGCCATAGTAAGAAAATAAAGATTTCTAGAATTATTATTCACTGGTATTATTAAAAGTAAGTTTGTCTGTTATAATTTTAGTGTTACTTTCTGTTGTACCAAATAGATATTTATACTGCATCACTCGCTTTCCGCCGGCAGCTTCGCCCGCGTGGAGTTCGGTTATATTACGTTGCCAAGAGAACCTTTCAAAAGTCTGGGATAAAAACTATCCTATGTTCTTTCTCAAGGTCAATTCCATCTCTATACCAAATTTCATTAAAATCAGGTTAGTGTTTAGGCGTGAAAGCGTAACAGACAGACAGAGTTATAATATTAGAAATGATTTATAATGCCTATGTGTTATTCCTGGACGTCAGTTTCCTGTATACAAAATTTTATCAAAATCAGTTCAGCCGGTTGAGCGTGAAGAAGTAACAAACATACACACACACTCACAAACTTTCGCAATTATAATATTAGTAGGATTAGGCCCACATAGTCCGCGAGTAATACAAAAATTTAAAAAAAATAGCAAAATATTCCTAGGGCAATATATACCAACAATAGTTTTTGTAAGAATTCTACTAATTTAAACTTAGCTATTTTCAAACAACATGTTCTCTTTAAATATGAATTGAATATGTAAACGATGGCCAGTAATTAATTAGTATGTCATCTTTGTAATGAATAGAAAGGATCAATTATATTTAATCAGTGCTGAATTCAAAACCACGGCATTAGTTGCTATGGACTTTGATTGTACGGAATGGCTATTTGAATAATTTAAAATAAATAATTCCGAGTAAATCTCCTCATGTTAATGCACACTCAATTTATATTCCGAGAAGTTGCGCGATCAATTAGAGAAAATGTATATATTTTTATTCATATGAAAAAACTCAAAGAAATTAAATTTCATCTAATTTCAGTGTATCTTATATTTTGTTCTTTATAATGTTGTTTATTGATGTTCCTAATTATTAAAATCATTTTGAGACATAACAAAAACACGTTGTCATATAAATATATATAGAATTTTCCCTATACGAAGTCATTACAAAACTTATGCGTTAAATGAATCACTGCATTTTTAAGTTGCCAGTGAATCAGTATCTGCGAACTAAGCGTTGGTATTTTATGGGGAAAAAATATATTTTTGGCAATGTCTCCCAGGTCGCGAATTAACATTTTGTGATCCAATTGACGGATGAGCTATCATCGAGTGATTAATGTGTCAACATTTGGGCCATGTGCATTGCTATTGAATTTCGTTTGTTTATAATATAACATAAATTGATTTGTACAAAATTTGTCTGGGTAATTTTAATACACTACTGAATTCCCGTTACTGGGACCATTTTAGAATGACAAACTCCAACTAAAACCTAGAACAAAGACTTTAGGATAAACTTATTGCGTCAGATGCACTATATTAGGTGTGGAAATGTCTAAATATTTAAAAATGTAGCATAATGAATCACCGGGCACGCGCTGGGCCATATGGCTCTGACAGGACAGAAAAGATCGGCGCGCGCGCATCATTCTATTTTAGGATTACCGCCGGCGTAACTAATACAAATAATCGTTTGAAATTTATACAACACATACCTGAGGTTTAATACAACAAGATTGATAACCTCATCTATTTTTATTGTTTGTCAGTATTTTTTGTTGATTTTTTTTCGTATTATTTTTGTCCAAATAATCTTAACTTTAAATAATTGACGGACATTTGTTGTTCCGTTGTTAAATGACTGTTTGGTATTTTTTCAAAACGAATTATTCTTATTAAATCTCTTACTTCTTTAAATCTCATTTAAAATGTTATTTTGTACATATTATTAAAGCTATGAACTTAATATTTTAAGCAGTGATAAGTATATCAGGCATTCTTAAACTAAATGTTTAGTTGTCTAGGAGATTTTCTAATTAAAAAGCAATTATTGATTATTTGTTAATGCTTATTAGCATGAGGCGTGACATGATGTTTAGAACAGTCAAAGTAATGATTTATTCGTAATAAATAAAATCAGTGTCTCTTGTTATGTATCGTCTCTGATGACTAATGTCCAGGAAAATTTATTTCACATGTGTTTATTTTTGGTTGTTACTATTGTACAGCGTTAATTAGCATAGGTAAATCAAAATTGTTTTTCTTCCAAAATTGTTCCTGTATAGTTATTGAGGATATTATGAAATGAATTGTTTAACTTAAGCTGTTTCTAACGTACAATTTTCCTTTTATCAGCTATCCTATGCGGCAATGAAAATCAACCAGCCAAGAAGCCTCGCAGTGATGGTAGTAATGACGGTGCTGGGGGTGGTCGTGATCACCTCGCATACGATTGCCTTCTTCGTAATGAACTCTTGGATGCTGACATCGAGGAGCTTAGAACACCGCCGACGAACTACGCAGATGGGAACAAATCAGCTCTAGGGTCATTGCAAGTGTCACCAGCAACCAAGTGCAAGCCAGTATTCAGATTCAGAGCTCCAGTACACAGCGCTGAGGTGAGTACTCAATGATCATCATTATCATCAGACTATCAGAGCCCACTAGTATACAAAGTCCTCTTCTCACATGGAGAAGGTTTGAGCATTAATCACCACGCTTGCTCAAGACGGATTGGTGATTCCACGATATCAATACATTATTAATATATTACTTCTCAATATTTTGTCTCGTATGTAGCTCCATATGTAACAGAATATATATACGGTATATTTTTAATTTTACGCAATTTAGGATATGTATACAATAATGTTGCGTTAAAACCTTTTTTCCGTCGAAATCTGGACATAGCCCTGCTCAGGTAGGCCGATAAAATTAATATATATTGCTTAGAATGTTTGCGTTTAAATTGTAAAAAATTATTGCCGGTGATTAAACTGCATACGTTATGTCCTTTCCAAAAACTTTATATTCAATTATCTCGGTGATTTAAGATTATTATTTAAAAAATTTCACTTTTGTTTGAAAATTGATTAGAATTAAAGTGAATCTGATATTACAATTTTCATTATATTGATATTTTAAACCGTAAATAAAAATTTTGGAGTTAAAAACATTTAGAGCACTTCGTATTTTTATTGGTCAAGTTTTGCTTTCAAACAAAATGTATGTTGAAGAATCAATGTCTGTATTATTGTGTCATATTGTTCTGATATGGTTATGACAACCCAATAAAGCATTGGAAGTAAAGGGTAATTAGTGTTTTGAGATTTTAACGTCCAGGTTTCTTTTTTGTTATGGAATTATGATTTGTGTTTTATGCGCTTCACGAAGCGTCTTGGACGATAAATTTCCCTCTGAGTGTGAATGTCGGGGCCGATGCTTTGTGTGACGTTGATATTTATGAAGGCATCAGGTTGATGTATTAAAAAATATGTTTCATTTTTGTTTGAGACCTGATAAGTCATTTAGTAAAATTTAATGGGTGTTTGGCGAACTTTTATGGATTATTGGATTTTTGTCACTGCGACTATATAAAACGACTATGATTTATTTGAAAATTCGAATGGTTTAGTTTGAGTGGCTCCGGATAATTAAAAAATATCAGTCGTAATAAATTATAGGAGTTACAATAATAAATACCAAAATATTTGTCTGTGTTTTTTTCTGTATTGGTCGAATTTGGAATTGTTTTAAGTTGTTATATAGTATTTCATGAAGAGTTATTCTGGGAACAAAAAGTGGTCGAATTTATAAGGGATTTATTTTTCTCACGATTTAAACACATCCATACCTTTCATGGATTAAAGATAACATATTTGACGATTATAATAAATGTAATTTTGAATATAAAATTTCATAAATACACTTGACACCGGAGTTCAACCTTTTGATGGTCCTAAATTGATTTTCTCAAAGTACAAATTGGCAATTACACAATAAACTCAAACATCTAATGCGTTCCGAATCCTGTTGTGACAAGTTGGTCTTTTTTGGTGGGATTTTAAAAATAAATTCCATATATCCCATGTTTGCGGCATTTTATTACATGTTCATACTTTGATTTTATATTCGTGTATTTTTTTTCATTGCTGTATACTTGTCAAAAATGAATTGGTAGATACGGGTTAGCGTAAAACTTAATCTATATACGACGCTAAGTATGTATTAAATAATATATAGAAGATTACTTTACTTTATAGGTTCATTGATTTTTAAATTTTGTTAGTGTAATTTGACACTTTTAGTATCCATATGTCCGTATCGGATGTCGTAAATGTTGATTACCTCCATTAGACGCTCGAGGGATCAACAATGTTCTTATTAAGGGCCAATTTATACATATTTTTTTAATATAAATTTTATTACTCATCATATAACATTTAAATAGAAACTTAAGTATAGCATTGTCTGAAATGATTTTCATATACTTGTTATATAATTGAATCGTGTTCATATGTTGCTATGCCTCTTATGCATAATTATGCTGTAATATGCATTATTCCTTGTTATTGTCGCGATGTTTACTCCGTAAAGCGGTTCCTTTGTAATATCAGACCAATTATCTTGTGTCAACTCGGAGTCGTTTTCATAGCGGTGGGGAATTTAATTTATACTTTATACAATAAACGTGAATTTAAATTACGTGGTTTTTTTTTTACAATAATAAATGCAATTATTTGGATATGGTATTCTTTTTATGTTTTGCTAACATGCTTTTTAAATTTAATACGCGGATAATAACAGTTTGATGTGTAGCGATAAACAGTAAACCGTAACACAGAATATACGTGAGAATTGAGTTGGGGGAAGGCTCGGTGTGAAAAATCAAATGTCTTGAAATTCATTCTGACGTACATGTGGGAAGCGAAATATGTATTTTGCTAAGCGTGTCGAAAATTTTAGACGAATAGGTATACTGTTTTAGTATGCTGTTAAATATTGTGTTTTACGACTGGTTAGATGTGCTAGGTTTCTAACGGTAAATGACGGTACTATTATCATTTGAATATTCTATGTATTCAATACAGTCTGAATAATTTAACGCCATTTTAACTCCAATACAATTATTGAATATTAATTTTCATGTTTAAAACTACACAAGCTGTGCAAACAGAAACATTTTTAGCAAAGCAAACTTGTCGGTAAAAATATGACAGTGTCCACTTGCAAAAAATATCCTTTGTATGGCCATTATCGCGGATGAAGTATTTAGCGAGTCGGTGACAATGAGGGTATCCTAATAAAAATACACACGTTTTTTGTCCGTTTCTTCGCGAATGCAAATTTTGCACATATTATTTTTTTTCTTGTCTAACGAATTTTATATATAGCCCGTGCATCTTTTTTAGTCATTACGTTTGATACAAAGCTGTCGACCATTGTTTTTTTTTCCGTCCGTCATTTGTCTGTCCGTCTGACATCACTCCGCGGTGACAACGACCTAAAATAAATTATTAAAATATTTTTCGATCATTCGTTTTGCATATTAACATTTGCATGTCCAATACATACATATATCGGATGCATTATTTTCGTTCACGACGCATATCTAACGCTATGGCTACTGAATAATTTTTTTTATACATTCAAAAGATCGTCAACCTTCCCATGGTTCGTGTTTTACAGCGGCCAGTGAGATTTGTCTCGAGTAAACAATGTATTTCGCTGTAACCACATCCTACTACGATGTAATCTACGGTAATGTTAAGAAGTTAGTGATTTTTTCTTACATCCATTTAAGTGCATTAGTGTGCTGTCAGAGTTGTTGATTGCCGTTCACGACCCGGTCAGAGGAGCCTCGTAACCTCGTCGACAGGTAGATGATAAAAAATACCAGAAAAACTAGAGTACATCTTAGTTATTAAGGTGAGAAGGTCGTGAAATGGTTGAAAAACATTTTAAGCGGCTAATTGATTTTTGGCAATGATTCAAAGATAACATATCTCCGCAAAGTCCGTGTTTTTATGCTCAAACTAACAGATATACCTATAAAACAAATAAAAATACCTAATTATAAACCAATATATCTTTATCACAAAATGCTGATATAAATTTAATAAAAAATGAAAAATGCTATTTCATAATTAAAAACTCTATTCATTTGAGATAAGTATTTTTGATAATGATTTTATGAAATATGATTATTTTTTGTGTTAGCTTGCAGAGTAACAGTATTTACATTTGAGGTTGCCGTCAATTGTATAGTAATATAGCGATCGGACGAGACTGTTTCTGAATTTGATAAATTCTTTTGAATGTCAAAAAAATTCTAAATCTATTCATGACATTCTAGATATGTACTGGGCACCACCCACTGGATTACCCGTGCATTAGTTACTGAATACAAATTTTTTTGACTTCTGATAAATGCATTGACATTGTCATTGTTTCGATTCAAAATGCGTCCTCATATAAAATCCATTCGGTGCTTTGAATGTATGCAAATTTTTGACCACCGATGGATTTTTGTTCGATGCATAACACTCGTCATTCGGCTCGCGCTTATAAATTCTGTCTACCTACTTTGAAAAATTCAAGTTTTTTTTTCTAACCATACGCGTAATTTGGTTAGCGAATGCAACAAAAAAATATATATCAGTGAACACGTGCCAATTCTTTTTTTTATGGTTCCCTATCTGCTTGACATGTTGGCAGGGTAAAGCACCTCTCGTTTAACAAGTTAATGCGATTATATCCGCACAATTGTCTATGATGATTTATATGTAGACGTATCTGTTCGTGTCGCTCGCGTTTCTAATTACGAATATAAAATATGTATGGAAGTTGTTGGAACAGGATTTTATGTTCTCAATATGATGTGATGGCGCCTGATATGATGTCGTCTGCAATTAAATAATAGTGTAAATAGTCTTCAATCAGGTTGAAGGAGCGTTGGATATTTGTATGACTATCTAGTAAGTTGAGCTTAGAGACCTTGAACATATAAAAGTCTAGACGTTTTGCATTTACAAATTTTGCGCTTGCGCATTTCAATGATGCGTGCGATCCTAGGGTTCATTGGTCTGTTTGTGGTACCACTGCTGTTTCTTTTTTTATTACATTTAGTAAGAGTCAGGACGTATCCGTGATTAAAATTTTCAACGCACGAAGTATATAGCGTGACGTATTTATTTTTGCAATGATGCAAAAAGTATTTGTAGTACACAAATTAAGTTTAATGGATATATATGTTTTTTTAAATCTGCATCGCGATAACTTTAATTGCCATTCGTAACAATTGTATCACGCTATTTTTAATTAACGCTCCGTATCCTTCGGGATAGGATTTGAATGTACCAAAAGAAATTGATTTTAAATTTAGCATAAAGAGGCCTAACTAACTGCTACTTCTCACGTGAATGCCGTAATGGATTGGAACGATAAAGTGAACAAAAAATTAATGTAACCTCAATTAGTTAGCAACTATTAAATATTGTAATTACATGAATCTTCGGTATGTATTAGACTACTCAAACGTCAGTATAATTATTACTAAGATGTCTTTATAAAAACTAATCAATTTGTACTCCCCTTTTCGATCTAAGCCCGTTCTCGGAATGATGCCTTTCGTTTGTTGCTAACTTAATTACCAAGTTATAAAATTTAGTCTAATTCATGGTTACTCTTATCAGATGATTGGTACTTTTTCAATATTAGATTCAGCAAATGCATTATATTCTTTTATCTGACAGACTGCATGAAATCGTTTTCTTTGTAGTTGTTTTTGAGTCGTTCGAAGCTGCCGTTGTAGTTTAACAATCTAGATCATGTCTGAGATTGTTCCGGAATAAGCCAAGTCATGCTCTGGAGTCATTGTGCAGGTTCTAATTTCCGAGACGTCGCAATTTCTCGTTTAATTATATCGATTTTTTTTTACTTAGTGCCATTGCCAGCGGTTTTGAATTTGGCCTTGACGATCGTCAAACATTGTTTGTAGTTGACTGACGTATATACAAATTTTTTTCTTATAACATATACTTCATCGAAAGTTAACTGATTGACACTAACATGAAACCAATCACTATGCAGATGTCCTATATGATACCTTATATATAGAATGGTCCAGTTTCTTAATACAACAGTGTAGTTTACTGTAACCACGCGGCGAGTATGAATGTCAGACAATGGTACATATTATTGGCTCTTCGTTAGTGCCTCGCTTTATAAATCTGAACCTAGGTTTGGCCTTTGATATTTTATAATCGAGACATGATGTTCGTTTGTCCCTATTGTTGTTGTTCGAAAGGAATTAAAAAAATACATATTCGCAATCATAAAGCATTAATGTAGCTATTAACACCCACATTGGTATATCGTTTGATAAAAAATATCATTATATAAATTGTTCGTTGTCTTTTATATATATATAATTAATATCTTTATACATATATTTTGTTAGTGTGTGATAGTTGTCAGGATTCTTAATAAATATTTTAACTTTAAGTCGTTCAGCTTCTGTGTCATCAGCATATAGCACTGGTCAGAAGTGCTCAATCGTGTTTCTCAGTTTGTTTACCGAAACAACGTCTACCGGTTCACGGTTGAATTCCGCGAGTGCCATCTATTTAGCAGCTTATTTCTTTACAATTTACACAATCGTATGTTTGTTGAGGCCTTTGCGATCTTACCCCGATAGGGTTACGTTTATTTGACCGCTTGTGTCAATTGAATATGTGAGTCTCATTTACGACAGCAATTTCAAATTAGTGGAACTTTTAAGTCACCGCAGATAAATAAAATCATCACGACTACAGTCAACCGTTTGTTTACCTCAATATTAATTTGAATTCCGTTTATGAGATATATTTTTTTTTGTCGAGAAGTAAATATTCTATGGTAATTTATTGCTAGGCGAGATAAAATACATATCCAGAGACTAGACGTGTAGTTTTACAGCTCGAACGTACTTGGAGATGTCGTAAAAGACTTGTGGAAATTTAAATTGGTTCCGTGTTATAATATTGTGTATTCATTTCACGGTCGCTGAAAGGGGATTGACGGTGCCTGACGGTGGTTTACGTGTATTATTTAAGCTCCTGACGTGATCTGTTTATGGAGGACCGAGGGTCACAAAATATGCCATTCATTTATAGCACCAATCAATCTGTTATCTGTGATCTAGTCACTACATGGTGGATTGTGATTTCTAGCTTTTTATGCGTCTGACTGACTGCTGAGGTTAATAAACTTGGTATTCCGATTGCTGATTCACCTTACATCATTGTGGTTTTGAGTTTTATTGAAATTGTTCCTTTTACTTATTCCTTAAAACGTTGTCGTGTCATTATCTTAATTCCTACGATGCATACCTTTGGCATATTTGATTCATTTAAGATTTTTAAATATATATTTTTTTCAATGTCAACGTACTTGGAGTTATGTTTGCGGCTAATTATTCACATTATTCGGATGTTAATTTAATGTAGCAGTTCACATCGTTGTATGGTCTATTGTGCGGTTCGTTTTATCTATTCTAGTTGAATACGTCTATTGTATGTTAAGGAAATAGCCAATTGTGGGGGACATTCATTAACACACACTATTGCGGCACCTATGATTGCTTTGATAATTCTTGTATAGAATAATGATGTTGTTTTTTTATCTGGGATGCTGTTCGGACTTTTAGACTTTAGTCGTTGCATGAGTCGGAGCACAGAACAGAACAGGTTCTCAATTTACCTAAATGTCTATTTATGTTTTATTACTATATGACGTGACTAAAAACTAATTATTCAAACAGAACGAGATGTTTTTTGAATTTGTGAAATAATAATTTGAGCTAATCAAAATGGCATTAGAGCGTATTGTATATAAATAAATGGTTCTGTAATCGACTTCGCTAGTTTGATATTCGTTTATGAGAATCTGGTTGTTGGATTATTACCTTTTTATAATACTATTATTATTTATATATAACAAGATTCGACGCGATAGTATTTATAGTCATAATTTCGGTAATGAACGTGTAGTACATTCATCTTCGATGTTATCATTGGTTATCCGAGCTGACGGAGTGTCTTGGGCGTTTTTTAAAAACCAGTTGCAATACCCTGGAGGCTGTTTTCAGGTTACGTAACAGCGTGAATTAATTTTCGACCATATGATCGAAGGCCGATGGATGTTATGGGCGGATCGTTTACTAAGTCAATATATCTTTAAGTGGCTGTTGTTGAATTAATCATCCCGAACACAATGCACTTTCCATCTTATTTCATACATCCGTTACATTTTCATTCATAGTTATTGGATCGTAATTATATATTTTGTGCCACGTCCGTGCCACGTGCCGGCCGCATGTGGACGGCATAACTGTTGTTATTTTTATTTAATGTGTAGTCAATATATATTCCTTTATCATCGATATTTATTGTCTCCTCTAAGCCCTCTTTGTGTGGGTGTCTTGTTATGACCCAAAGAGTGCAAAGTATACATTTCTGTTCAAACTCAACAAACACAACAGCCCTCCCGTTGTCTTTTGCATAACACCCACGTTAAGTTTTTGCATATTATTATTTACTATAAAGGGGCACTTGTGATGGTATTATATTTTTCGGTCCCACGAATTCGTAATGCCATGCCAGGCTGTATTGTATGATGTTACCAACATTACCAGCGTACTGCTATAAAAACGGGTTCACGGTCATTCGTTATTGCCGTAAGTTTACGCGAAATGTGCACTTTTTGCAGTAAACTGCTTAGAAGTTTGTTTTTTACTGTATGCGATAACAGCACTAAATCATATTAAATATGGTAGTTATAAAATTATATTCTAGTTATATGGAGTAATAATGTTGTAATTTACTTCTGTGTTACCATTAAATTGTAACTAGTTTAGTTTATTGCCATATTCTACTGTAACTGGTAGGATTAATTAATACATACTGAACCTACAGTATTGAGTAATTAATATAGCCATGTAGAAAAAAAGTCGCTGACAAATCGTTACTATCAGAACGTAAGGAGTATTTTTGTTAGGTTAGATTTTTTTTCAGTGTGTTTTTATCGCGATTCATACAAAAGAGTACGGGTAGTCGAACCTTCAAGGACTCGCGTTCTGCTTCAGGAGGTTTTTAGACAATATAAATTGGATCTCAAATAAAACCACGTATTTCCCTCAGACTGTATATAAAACTAGTTAAAATTACTCTAACGGTTAAGCTTACATTAAATTAATGAATATTTTTTAATTATTCATAAAGTTAATATTTCTTTATTAAATGAATAAACTGTTGTGAGTAACATCGGAGTATTTTATTATAATCATTAAAGCTACGGAGCGTTTAAATAATTTGATTTAATCCATCACTGGTTTTTGTTGCTCAATGTTTTCTATTTGGCGAACCGGACATTTGTCTTCTTTATTGCTTCAGCGTCTAATGAGTGCATTATCATTATTATTCCGACAGTACGTGCTACTTTATAATATTTTTTTGCTATCTGTTGTATATATATTTTTAATATTTCGATATTAGTATCACGGATATTAATTTGTAGCGTGATCTCTTACTGTCATTGTTCTTCGATCTCGATTCGACTCATTGTAATGAGATTGTCAAGAACAGTAACTAAGCGAAATGTTTTTTTCCCTTTGATTGCGTCCGCAAAGTTTAATTTGGTTTTTTCGGTCTGTCAAAACATTTATAACCGCGTAAGGTTGTTTAAATAGTTAAGAGGTTTCGATTGAATTAATTTTGTTCCTCGTGTTCATTTATTATCTCGAGTGTTGATTGAATTACAAACGTTAACTCAAATGCATGTTTATTTCCTTAGCCTTTATATATATTAGCCTGTCTTTGGACTGCATACTTGGGTCAGATGAATTTAAGTGTTACGTGAGAATTTTATAAAGAATATGGACTAATAAATGTCTAATAAATATCAGAGACTTATATATTTCTCATGTATTTATCTTAAACATATGTATCTTTAGCCGACTTGTTGTTTTGACATTTCAATAATAACGATAAAAATGCAAAATGGTATCTCAATTGAGGTTTATGTTTATTTGTTCAGGAAAACATCGACCCATCGCCCTACAGCCTGTCGCCAGTTTCAGCTAAATCCCAGAAACTACTCCGATCACCGAGGAAAGCAACGAGGAAAATATCACGTATACCATTCAAAGTGAGTATAAAAAATGTAAAAGAATTCTATATCGCCTCAAAGGCTATTAAACTTTCTGCAGACGGATTAAATTCCATCGTGAAAAAGTCGAAACGGCTAACGTATTCTAATTCGGTCAGGTCCTAGACGCTCCGGAATTGCAAGACGACTTCTACTTGAACCTAGTCGACTGGTCCATACAGAATGTACTCAGCGTGGGACTGGGCAGCTGTGTGTATCTATGGAGCGCATGTACCAGCCAGGTAAGATTGTAGCTCGCAGACACATAATACGATTAAGATTATAACACACACACATTAACAAACATTCGACACACAGAGATTTTACACACACATACACAATTTAACATACAGATTTATTTCACATACACGTAACTTGGAAACGCAAGAACTTATTACATACATACAATTTTTAATAAAATTTTGTGAGTATTTTTTTTATAACTACGCTATGTAACATACGTAAGACAAAGTCAAGAAAACAAACCAGTATATAAAAACGCGACCCAGACAATAGTGCCACTGTACATTTAGGATACAGGTTCCATATATTAGACGGAAAAAAACGGTAAATTGCATACTAGAATTACCTTTATGCTAATTAATGGCACTAAAATACTACGGGCGACATAAAAAGTCGTAACGGATTTTGGAAATGTCCAAAAAGGCGTTGTTTTCATGCTAAATATCATATAATGTTGCATATAACGCTGCACCTAAATAATATAAAAACATGGTGTCATTGGCCCACCACCGGGGATCGAACCCGCGACCTTCCAGTTATTAGATCGACGCTCTAACCGACTGAGCTAATGGGACCATCGACGAGACGAACATCAGCACCGCTGCCATAAAAATGACGTGATAATATAAATAACTTGATATACAACTAATAAAATCGTCTAGAATTTGTGCATCACACATAAATATAAACAGCCTCGGACTTAGACAGAAAAAAAAACGTGATTTGAAATGTCAAGTGAGAGTCGGAATATTGATTGATTGAAATTATCAAATATATGTTCGGAAATTCAAGATTGGACGCATAATATGATCGTATATATTTTTTTCAATATATAATATAATTATTATGTTGGCCAGGACTTATCTGATTTAATAGTTCATTAATTCCAGTTGTTTTAAATAATAGCTGTCGGTCAATTAAAATAAGATACGATTCTGCAGATACCAATTAGGACTTCAAATTAGATTAAATGACGTTAAATAATTATATAGAAAAAAAATATACTAACAATCCCGACAGCGGTGTTCTTGATTAAAATTATAATTGATTAATCTATAGAATACGGTTTTTATATGAACTCGCAGAACCCTAAAAACTTGATAAATCGAAACGCTGCAGTACTGCAAGTTATTGAGATGTTTTTTTTTTGTTCTTCCCAAAAAAAAAACCAGTATTTAAAAACCTGTCAATAGCGTTGTAAATAATGCTTTAATTGAATAATTACGCTGTAATAAACATCCAAATTGATCCTTGCAATATTCTATACATCCCGGATATGACAACTATTTAGACACAAAAAAAATGTATAGGTATATATAAGTATATGTATGTCAACATTAGTTATTGCGGAATTAATTTGCAGTATTCCGAGTCTGAGACTGTACAAGTCTAGGTCGGTATGAATCCCAGTAGTCTGGGTAGGCGTTACAAATGTGGGGGTAGACTAGTTCTAGACTGGGGGCAACGACCTGCTTTTAATAATACTCATACCCTGATAAGGTGCCTCGCGTTTATTGCAGTCAACATACAGATAAAGGAAATAGTCTTATTAATTATATTAAATGCTTAAATAATTTTCTTATATTGAATATATTTTTGAATCAAAATAATTTTATCTAGATTTGTTTGGTCACGAGCATTATATTTTTATAATAAAACGTTCAGAGTTTTTCGTTAGGTCATATGTATGACTCACATGTAACTTAGGTATGTCATTGTTTGAGCCAAAGATTACGATTCGTTTTATTAATTATAGTATAAAAATATTTAAAGACACACCTCGAATCCTTTAAGAAATTTTTCCTGCAATGCATCATTTGATTTCCTATACATATATAAGTAATTTTTCTTATATTTCAGGTCACACGTCTCTGTGATCTATCCTCGGAAGGTAATGCTGTCACTTCAGTGGCATGGAGTGAGCGTGGTCATCTGGTAGCTGTTGGGACACAGAAAGGTCACATTAGTGTATGGGATGTAGCTGTTAATAAGGAGGTAGCGTATTATACATTTGAATATAAATCTTATGATATCTACGTTAAAAATTATTTTTCTCATTCTAATATAAATATTTGCTTAATTATCACAAAAATACTAGAAAAAATTCAGAGAAAAAAATCCGATATAACTTTTTGCTACATGAACTCTATATTCTAGAAGTGGCTCAATGATTATATTAGTATAGTATAGTTATGAATTGTATTTTTCATATCTCATCAGGTAACTAAACTCCAAGGCCATATAGCTCGGGTTGGAGCGTTGGCGTGGAACGGTGATGTACTTAGCTCTGGCTCCCGAGATCGACATATACGGCAAAGGGACACTAGAACTCCACGTAAGCATATAATATATAAAACTAGCTCTGCCCGTGACTGTATGAATATTTTGTTTATAAGAGTATCGTATGTCACTCTTTATTTCATAAGTAGTCTTCCTGTGAAAGTATCTTCATAATCAGTCTGGCCGTTTTAGTGATAAGTCGTAACAAACAGACAGATGTAATGTGTAACAACTCACATTTTCATACATGTTTTATATACAGTATAAAAAGACGCTCAAATTGATTTTTAATAATATAAACTATTTCTTTATGTTAAATAGAATATTTTTATATTTCGTTTAAATTATATTGTAATTTTCCCTAGTGTTACTCAGTAATGATGATAAGGATATATGATTTTTGGGAATTTGAAAAGGGATTTCCATTAAAGCAATATCTCACTACTAATATACATTTATATAATTCCAAAAAATCTCTTTCTTCCACCAAATGTTAGACTAAAGTAAAGCTGATTAGTTATTCTAAACATTCCCTCTAGATGACTAAGATTAAGAGTTTTTATGTTGCATACAGAAGCTAAATATTATACAAATTCTTTATCTCCTAGTTTAAAATCTTTAGACTGTCATTTATTTATATTAAAAATATATTTATATGTATTTATTATCATTTTCAGCTATTCAAGCTGCTAGAGTTCTGCAGGGACATAGACAGGAGGTCTGCGGTCTGAAATGGTCACCAGACGGACAATCACTGGCCTCCGGTGGAAATGATAACAAACTATTTGTATGGTCTATGGTATGTACATAATACATATATTTCATAAAAATATATATGTATATAAATTTGAAAAAAAATGCTTTATTTTAAACTAGCTTTTCGCCCGCGTGGAGTTCGGTTATATCGCGTTTCCAAGAGACCCTTTCAAAAGTCTGGGATAAAAACTATCCTATGTTCTTTCTCAAGGTCAACTCTATGTCTGTACCAAATTTTATTAAAATCAGTTCAGTGATTTAGGCGTGAAAGCGTAACAGATAGACAGACAGACAGAGTTACTTTCGCATTTATAATATTAGTAGGGTTGTTGCTTACATTAAAAATTATAACCTGCCAGTAATTGACGCTTGTCTCTTGTTTTTCTTAATATTTTATTTAAGAGTACTAGGCTTAACAGAAAACAGTATTTCAATTTAAAGTGTTGAATAATATCATGTCTTTATGATGTAATAAAACAACCCGTATCGTAATAGAAGAGATGGAATATATTATAAACTTAAAACGCGTTCTTAGAAGCTTATATCAATATTTTCTACTGAATATTCTCGTTTTATGGTTCATTATTACGTTCTTACAATAGTAAAATTATCAAAATATTGCCAACGAGTAGACAAAATTGCGGTAGGTGACTAGTATTATTACCATTTATCAGCAGCTAATGTTGTAGTCGCCTAGTTCAATTCGCCGTGAGACCGCGGTTTCTGTGGTTTTCATTCGCTACAGGCGTCATTACTCTGCGGTGATAACTTATCATTATATACAGTTTTTATCATCACGTTTTGGACGTTATTTGTCCAGCTTTTGTGTTATTCTGTTTATTAAATTACTTCACATAAGAAACCTTCAAAGTGCGCCATCTGTTGGATTTTTCGGGTCATTTCATTAAAATGCGATAAAAATTTGTTACGTGATGTAAAAATATCAATGTAATGTTTCACGACGATTATATATTAATATTGCTATATACTTAAATACTACCAAAATATAAATGATATGTTTTTTATAGTAAACCGAATATTTTACTATTTAATAAGTCATTTCGATAATTTTATAGAAAACGACGAAATAATTTATCTTTGTATGCTCTCCATACATAATTGTAGCAAAGCAAATGTTACAATAATAAATAATTTTGTATAATTGAAACATATTATCATCTTTTTCTGTTTCCAGCACTCAACATCCCCCGTTCAGACGTATTCGTCCCACGTGGCAGCTGTAAAGGCGATCGCGTGGTCTCCACACCAACATGGTCTACTCGCGTCAGGTGGAGGGACCGCTGATAGGTGTATAAGGTTCTGGAACACGCTCACTACACAACCGATGCAGTGTGTTGATACAGGTGGGAACAGCGACATCTAGTGGCGGTTTTTATGACTATTATATAGATTCATGTGAATCAAGCTAAGCTTGGGTTAAGATTTGGATGGGTGACCGAAGGGATTCGTATACTGTGTGCTGGTTTAGGTTATAGTTATTTAAAAGTAACGAAATTTAGCTTATATATTTTAGTAAAAAACGTTTAGGTAATAGTTAGGTACATAGTTATTATAATTTTCACTATTTTCTTAATGTAAAGAAATTAAATACTGGAGCAATTATGCCATTATGATCTATATACATGATGTTTATTATTAATGTATATATTTTTATTTATTTCAGGATCACAAGTCTGTAATCTTGCGTGGTCGAAACATTCAAGTGAGTTGGTGTCGACACACGGTTATTCACAAAATCAAATACTTGTCTGGAAATATCCATCGCTTACTCAGGTAAATAAAATCCCAAAAATAAAGAAATTGTGCACAATTCTTTAATATACCACTTCAAATCTTCATTTAATTTTGCATGTATTAAGTATTTTATCTTCATGCACTTGGGAATTTGGTTTGCAGAAAAATGTATTAAGTACAAATGTCAAAAGAATAGAAATGGTACTTCACTACGTACACAATATGATTGTTGTGACGTCATCACGGGAGAAATTATAGCATGTCTTTTTCTGATATCTAAGTTCTGATATTGTAAAGTTATTAAGCATCAATTAAGTGAATGTCATGTGCAAGAGTAATATACGTAAATATGTATACAAACATCCATACATTCTCAAAACCATTATTTATAATATCAGTTGCATTGTATCAGCAATACTATAATTACATTTTTTAACTTCAAAAAACTTGATAATACTGAGGTAGATTTCTAATGCAATAAATGTCATTACTCATTATATAATTTCTATTAATTTATTTCCAGGTCGCCAAACTGACGGGTCATTCATACAGAGTTCTCTACCTGGCTTTGTCTCCTGATGGCGAGGCTATAGTCACCGGCGCTGGTGACGAAACATTAAGATTTTGGAATGTGTTCTCTAAAATACCATCACACAAGGAAAATAAGAGTGTTTTAAATCTATACACGGCACTCAGATAAACTCTGAAGTTTCAGTGTTGCCAGTTGAAACGACTTTGATATAATTATTATAATATATTATATGAGTTTTGTGTGTCGGTGGAATGTTTAGTATAATTTTTGCATTGCAGATATTGCATTGCGTATTTTGGACTTATTTATTATTATAATTTTTTTTTCCATTTTGAAAACAATTTATATTTGCCGAAATGCTATATTCTGGGTGTAACAGGATATAACACGAGGCAAATAATTGAATGGCTAAAAAAAGTTTATATGTCTTGTAAAGATTTTATTTTTTCATTATGATTTTAAAGTCAAAAGATGTTAGTGATTTTAGTAATGTTAATATAATTATAAATATAGTCGGTAACATTTTGTATGGATGTACATTAGTTTGTTTATATCACGTATTTATTTCATAGTCATTTTAAAATTAAAATTTTTCTCTTTATATTTCATAGATAATCGTGTTGTGTTGAAAATTTTTGGGTTTCGATGATTGGTGTTTGCTTAAAGGTGTTGCTATGCTTGCGATGTTGCCAAATAAATGAATTACGGTAGCCTGGGATGTTTGTAATAAAGACGGTTAATTTTTTAGTTAATTACATTAAAAAATAGTTCAAATTCTAACCCACCGATGTACATAGCAGGCATTTCTACATCTTTAGATTCATAACTCTAGTACTTAGAGTATTTAATGCAGTTATGAGTTATATAGATCAGAGCAATTAATAACTATGGGGTCGTTCAGGTATTACGTAAGCAGATTTATTGCAATTATTTACCCCCCCATCCTCCTTGTCAGCAAAAGTAAGCAAAGTTCTTACCCCCTCCCCCCATGCTTACGTAAACATTTTCAATTACTGTATTGTTTTTTTTTAATATAAATCCATAAAAAAAATTATAATTATAATTTTTTATGGATCTTCTCGATGTGATGATAAAAAAGTAAATAACTACCGATGACGTAATCATCATCTAGACTCCCCTACCCTACCCTACATAGTGCTTACGTAATACTTGAACGGCCCCTATACATAATTTGAATAGTCGCTTTGGTAATATTAATTTGTAATAAATTAGTCTTAGTGTGTGTCTTATATTAATATTATATTTGAATACAGCTTTTTAGTGAAAATCATTTATTAAAATTATAGGTTAGGATCATCCTTGCCTGTGTAATTTAATAGTAATATGAATTCATCAGCATTTATCAACTAATATAACATGCTTGAAACGGGAAGTTATAATATATTAGAGGTACCTCAAATGATCTCAAAAACAAACAGACAGCAGACATACAAACACTCTTGGTGTTACTTATTTATTATATATATTACAAATTTGCTAGTCTATAAGTTAATATAAACATTATCGCTTGAAACTCATAAGAAGCTTATATTATTTGATTTTCAATCGAATAATCGTTTGTGAGGTACGCTCCTTATATATTGATATATAAATAATTCCTACTAGATACATATGTATGTATATTTGAATTGGATTTGTGCAATTTAGTTTATATTAATCGGTGATTTCGTTTTCTGTTTGCTTAAGTATATCCCATAACATATTGTTATGTATTCTTTACACATAGTATTGTTCTTATGTGTTTTTTGTTTGTATATATGGGTTATTGGCTTCCAAACAGAAATAGAAAGCACAGATCATAACACAGTATATATGACACCAAATATTAACTTTTGCAACTTCTCTTGATGTAAAAATAAGAAATTGTGTGTTTAATGTATATCATTATTACTAAATTTTGTGTTTAACACTACTAGAGTCATCAAAATAATTTGTGATTCATAGGATCTAGTTTTTGGTGAAAATTATCTTTATTAACAAATATTTTTCATATCTCTCACAATCTTCATCTATCTCAACGCTTTATATTCCCACCACTTATATTAAATGCGAGAATTTCTACGTTTAGTTTATAAGATATCGGAATCGGACCAAAATATTATATTTTATTCTATCATAGTAACATTTCCCATCGCTAATGTAATGTAAGAGCTCGCGTAACTAGTTAGATCCATGGTATAATGAATTGGAACCATTAATATAGATGTTTATTTATTATTAAGAAAGATCTAATATATTTGCATTAGTTTTAGTTATGAATAGACTGATGTAGTGTGTACATGTTGTAAGTGTTTACATATTAAAATGGTGTCTAAAAATATTGTTTTATTTTACCTTAGGTATATTAAATCTATTTTATTGATAGAATAGCTTTATGTAGAATTTGGTTTTTTGAAATTTTGAAGTGATTATAATTTCTTCCAAGACTAAGCTGTATGTATGCTAAATAATATGGAGTTAAAACAACAAAATATCGTTTTAGGTCGTTGTACATTTCAAGGATTTATTGTCCAAATAAAAATAATTTTACATATCATAGAAAAATATATATTTTTTATAAATATTCATATACTTATATTGCTAAATACTTTTAATTAGACTGTATGTTTTGTACAGTTCCTTGATGTAGTGTCGTATATGAGAGTCTTCTAAGTGATGTTTCAGAAATGGTATCTGTTGCCTTTCAAGTGACAGAACGTCTAATGTATTAGAAAATGCGTTGAAATTTTTTGAAACCCGACCAAGTTGAAGTAGTAAGTTTGCGTGAGGCTGCAAATAAACCTTTCTTTTGATAATATTTGCCGCCATTTTGTTGCAAACGTCAATATCCCTCATGGCTTTGCATTTCGTATCGAGCGTACTTGTCATCTGAAAACGAATGATCATTTAGTGATTAAATAATTCGAATCTTGAGTTTTTTTTGTTCAATTAATCTCTCTTACCGGCATTATTTTACTCTCTGCGTCTAACACAAATTCTCTTGTTTTATTGTCAATAAACTTGTATTCTGTCCACGCTTTGGGAAGATAATCGTCTAATATTTTATAAGGCATGTATCTCTGTGGCGGATTTTGAGGTCGGATTCCGTACGCCAATTCACTGATTATTCTCACAATGACTCCAAATTCTTTATTCTGCTCGCTTAAGTTATAAAAAGGCCTGAATAAAATAGAATTCAATAATATATTATGGCTTCATATTTAGAGAAAAAAATTACAAAACATGTTCAAGTTGATAAACATTTATATTCTAAAATAGTCCATAGTGATGATACTATAAATTATATTAATATGATTTATATTATAATGTTAGATATTGTTAGTCAAATTAAATGAATACTCGCGAAATCTTGGACTAAATGAAGGAGGACTAGAAATTACTAACAATTATAATGTAGCCAACAAGTTAAAATATTACTTACAGTTGTTGCTGAAGGTAAGTCGCAGCTTTTGCAAATTCATACTTTGATTGAAGGTAAGGAGGTGGAACGCTGTCCAAGTCATTTGGAAGATTTAGTGGATCCGACTTCACAACCGACCACGTAAGTAAAAACTGAATCAGGATATACATCGCTGAAACATGATGAGATTTAAAAAAACATATTCTTTTACAATTTTATTAAGAGAGTATAATTAATTATTGCTTATATTAAAGTCGTTGTTATAAGTAAGTTGATTTTCGTTTTATAGATTTTTCTTTTGCACATTTTTTTTATTTGCAAATATGTAAACTTTTTGTAAAGGAGTTCACAATTAATTAGTTAGTACATGTATAATTTTCGGTTAACTATTTTAAAAAAATGAAATCACTAAATTAAAATATCTTTTACGTATAGGTATACCTACAATTTATTAATGTACATTTTAAATCACTTGCAGCAGTTAGTAGATACATCTAATAGTTACATACAAAATTCTATTGAACGTGTGTATGTCACAGAACTGCTTACCATTAGCATGGGCTACACAGATTTGCATGTTTTTTTTTTCACAAATCAGCCCAACAGATGGCGCTATAATGGGTATGTAGGTTATTTAAAGTAAAAATAAAATATTTCAACGTAGGTTTCTCTATATATCGGTTATTTTAACACACTACATATATACATTTCGCTATATGCAACTCTAGCGTTCAGACGGACGGAGTCGCGGGCAAAAACTAGTATTCATATACATACAACGTTTGTTTAGGTAACTCATAAACCAGTTTGTTCGATCATTTAAAGAGTTAATGCGCATTTTCCTGGTCCTATGCATTTTTAAACACAATTATAACTGAATGATTCTGATGTTTGCGTTGTTCAAGACATTGTGTGCTCCAAAACAAATAATCATTTACCGTGTTAATAAATTCGGTTTAACTTATGTAAATTCATTATTAAATTAAAAATATTAACATAGTAATCAACTGTATAAATAAGTGTTCTAAAATGATAAATCTTACCTTGAAATTTGAATGACAATGGCTCAAATCCTTGGTTACTGAGGGCTGAACGAGAAATGCAAATGTTTAATTTGGTGAGATCTGGATATTCATCCTTTACCGTTACAGTTCAACGTCCATTTTTGGCAGGAAAATGTAAAAAAGACTCTAATATATAATATTATAAGATTGCAAATATGATGAACATGTTATTACGTTCGTGGAGGTGGTTTTGTTCACAAAGAAATAAAGTAAATATTCTTATTAAGTAGGTATAAATACTTCAAATCTGATTTTGAATATTATAATAGTATAGTCTACAAGCTATTCACACATTTTATAGAAATTTTTTGTCTTTGTCATAAAAAAAATCTAAATAATATTTCTTAAAAATCTGTGTTAATTTTATAGGCATTTGTAAATTAAGATAAGGCTACTTTTGTATTATGTTATCCTTACTTAGTCGCTTTCAAAACCAGAAATGACGTTTTTTAAAGGGTAAAACAAAAACTAAATAAATGCTTCATTATTTTCAATATTTTATTGTACAATTTATTTATAAAAAATAAGTCAAATTTACTCAAGCTCTGGCTCTAATAAATAATAACTCAATGCTTCCAATATCGTACGCTAATTGTTTGTATTTCTCACCCTGCATAAGCTTTATCAAGTAAGGCGCGTCTTTATATTCTGAAACAACTTCACGTATTTCTTTTTCGTGAAGGTTGAGGGTACGTGCTACTTTTCCCACAGCTAGTAACAGTCTGGCTTCGTGTAATAATGAATCATCTTCTTGAACGATTCTCTCCACTTGCTCATTGCATGCTTCAACACTGATTAAATAGCATTGCCCGTCAATGATAGCAGTTATCTAAATATGTAACAGATATATTTTTATCTGGTCCTTTTAAGATCGACATGTGCTAATTTGTTTCAGAAAGAAAAAGGTGATTTTTGTTTTTTGCAGGGGTCAAAACAACTTTAATAAATGTAAATAGGTATAGTTTATAAACAGTAAAGGCTTAAAATAAATGAATAGGTCAAAAGTATATCTATATTAAAATTTACTAAAGTTTGATATTAAATATATAAAAAATGTTCATAAAAATTGGGGAAACGGTAAAATTGTTTATATCTCATTTTAAAACTAATTTATATTAACCATTCGCTATCATATGCATAATATTTTCTGCTAGGTAATTTTTTATTCTAATACAAAAAGGAATATGATTGAACATTTTCACAAATTGACATAAAGACAGACTGAAGACAGATTGACGTTATAGGCTTTATTATAAGATTTATATATTCAAAGACGAACAAAATAATAAAGAAATAATACTTACATTCTGTACTTGTTTATCAATCTCAGCCAGTTTTTTATTTAGCGGATCAGCTGCTACTCCATTGTAATTGGTCCATACAGATGGCCACACATCTTGTAGTACTGAGAGAGGATCGTATTGAGAACAAAAGTATGACGCATATTTTCCTACAGTCATAGTCACTGCTGACAGAACTCCTGCCGAGAGATGCTCACGGGTAGCCGGATTAGTCAGATTATTTTCATCATGGGGACTGAAATTAAATGTTCCATTCATTTGTCTACACCAAGTTTTCATATCCGTGTTAATCAAAATGTACTTACACTAATTCTTGAAGCGTTAGACTCGCTCGCAAGAAATCTACTCTCGATTGTACATATGGATTCTGTCCATTTTCATTACTGTGACGATGTGTGTCTACACACCAACCTCCTCCCAATATTAACAGTGTCGCAAGAAAACCAATCATGATGTATATCTGAGAAAACAAGTTTCTTTAGCAAAAAACTTTCACACCGAGAGAATAATGATATAAAATTATCAAAACAAAGCAAATTTATCATTAGATATATCCATATATTATATTCATTCTAATAGTTATGTAATCGATAAAGTTTAGTAATTATACCATTGTCTGTTATATTTGATGCTGAATATAATTTCTATTCATTAATAAGTTAATATGATTATTTTACGCACATCATTGAACAATACTCACCGCTATTCAAACCTTATTGTTGATATAATTTTGATGCAACAACTATTTATAACGACTTCATTAGTAACGATTATTTGATAATCCTTTAGTTATGCCGTTTATTTTAGTCATTTAGTTGTACACGGTTTAAGCTTTTGCTTACATTTTTTTATTTGGCTAGACAAAATATGTTACAATTAAATTAATGTAAGTTTTTCGGATACTACGAGATTTAAATTATTTTATGGTTAGGTATATTAGCCTTTCCCCGCGACTTCGACTGCGTGAACATCAGAGTTATTCGCTGCCTAGTGGCCGTAGTGGCCACTGAATCAGAAATGTACGTCATGCTTCCATGTATGTAGGTATGTTCCATGTACTCTTATAGTTTTGTTGTCGGGATCGGGATTCGGGATTCAGGATAAAAGGCAGCATATGTCTTTCTCCAAGATTCTACATATGATATATCGCTATACCAAAATTCATTAAAATCGATTCAGGTATTGAGGCATTAAAACGTCACGGACAGACAGAGTTAATTTTTCATTTTTAATGTTATTAAGGATTCTATTTTAAGTTCTTGATTGAATTTAAGTTATGTTATTATTTTTAAGATAATTTTGTTCACAATCAAATACCAAAGTTTAATATTAGATCTATTATATTGATAAAACTTTTTAGACATAATAAAATAATTAAATAACCACTATAAGTGTCTTTACTCGTCAACTCCGAAACGAGATATCCGATTGGTATGAAACAAAAAGTAAGTACTTACTATAAAATAGATGCTCTCGATAAGCTTTAAAGAAATTTCTTTCTTTAAATTATTTTTTTAGCACAACTGCAGATATTGTGACTAAACTATGAAGCTCAGATACATACTCTCGTGAAAGTTTTTTTAGATCCTAATGGGACCTATAAAACCTCAGTACGTTATTTTGTTGTATTGTCCATAGATTTTACCTAGCACGCTTATATAGGTTTTAATTTTACAAATTAGCAATTTTCTCACGGATTTTTTAAAATAAATAGTTATAAGATCTTCTATTAATTAGAACATTTTATTGTTCTATCTTTTATAGTTTAGACAGAGTAGGCAAAATCACTTTTCTGGTTGATTTATTACACCTTGTTTCCGAAAAACGCAAGTATCTTACCGAACCCTATTTTTTTTAAGTTAAACCCAGCCTAAGTTACTCGTGGATAATGTAGCTTTCGAACATTGAAAGAATTTTTAAAATCGGTCTAGTAGTTTTTGAACTTATTCATTACAACCAAACAAAGTTTTCCTTTTTATACTATTTTTTTTTGGTGCATTAATAAATAAATAAATATAGATAATCATTTTCACCTCACCACTATGATCTCGTCTGTCCGTAATCACCATTGATGTAGACTGTTAAGGAACCGAAACGTCGGATTATTTATTTGTAAAATAATAAAAAACTCGTAGTCTCCTAGAGAGTATAATTTAAATTTGTAAACGCGAAAATTTTAGATATCATTATACATATTATACAACGTAAGTACAAAGAAATAAACTGGAAAGAATAACTTAATACTATACAATTTAAGGAGTCTCTAGACCTCGTTAGTTAATGAATTAATTTTATCAATTTATACTTTGATGAAATTTCGTAGAAAGGAATACGTATATTTAAATGGTAGGCGTTTTCTTCTATACAGGGAAAGGTGTACGAGTTGATCTACTTATGGAGATATTCTTGTTGTTGACAGTTGAACCAATACTTAGGGGACATCTAAAAGCATATATATCTTGTAAATCTATCATTCTAAATATTGTAATATTCCAATCGTGAATAGTTTAGCTCGTTGAGTATATGTCTTTTTTAAATTTCTGACAAAGGATACACCGACACCCTGCTATCCGAGATTCTTTTTACGTAAGGATCAAGACAATCTTGGGTATGCCTTTTCTTTTTTTAAGGAATGACAGGTAGATTTTGATAAACTAAATAAAGAACTGATTTAAGAAATAAATATTCATTAATAACGAAACAAAATATATCTTCTTAATCTAATCCTAGATAATAATCCACTGGTATTTTGATGTGGACTCACGAGCAATAACCGCTTTATCTGGATGTCGCTGACGGACCCCGCTCCACCAATTATACACTGACTTTTATCTTGGAAAAGGGTAGGAAATATTGTTTTTTTATAGCTAATTATTATGCCAACGATAAAACATCTTGTCACGTTAAACTGTACATCCTTGTCTTCAAATCTTAAATGCTCCATCAGCTTGTTCTTGTTCTGTCTTAAAAACGGTTTTTTCCCTCCTAATTATTTGATTGCCCCAATAACGGCCTTTTTAAGATCCTTTCTCGCTTTTTTAAACTCATGACTGGAACATCAAATTGTTTACTCGCTGTTTTATATCTAGAAAAAATAATAATTATAGCAAATTAGTTATAAAAATTAAACTTTGTTTACTTAAAATATTATGCTGCCAGATGATCCGCATGTACATGATCATCTTATCTCAACCTTAGTTTTTTTATATGGTGTTTGATAAAATAAATCAAAATGGTGTCAACATTAAACGTTCCATTAAAAAAACAAAATAAAATCTTTAACAAAGATCTTAATTCAATCAGTTCAGCTTTACATTTAGAACATATATGACAAGAATTCAAAATAAATTTCACTATAAATAACCCTAACGGAGTTTTTGTTTTTGAACGCAAGAAATTTTGCTGTCACTCAAGCCGCTACTATGATTTTCTGTGGTAAAAGTGCAGCGAGAAAAGTTATTACCTACAATAATAAAAAATCTCATGGCATTAGTAGTCATCTTGGAATTAAAAAGAATTCTTTCCTCCACTGATCATTTCCTACACTTTTCCCATACTGATATACAGATTTAAAATCATTTAGAGTTAAATATGAAATTACACTTTATTATAACAATAATTTTTTTATGCTATTGCTTCATGCACACTGGATTCGAGGATTTTGCTATTATCAGGGTTTAAGTTGTTAAAGGCACGAGGCTCAAAACAAAATGACGAAGACATTAAAACATCAGAACTCTAATTAATAATTGTTTAAATACTGTTTCACATAATTTGAATTTGCAAGAGGATAAAATTTTTTCAATTATGTATAAGTATCAAAACTTTAACATTCTCAATCTAAACATATCTTATATAAAATATGTTTAATTTTCTCTCTTTGGTGTGCGTAGTTTTTTTTTTAAATTCAAATTATTGTTTTTTTTTTGAACTTATTTTTTCCCTTATAGAATATCTACTATAATTTTATCATCATTTCACAGACGGTAAATATGTTTTTATTGTAAATTTATTATCTAAGCGATTCATAATAGCCTTTGCGTTTTAAGTCTTACAAAAACACATATGTTAAAAGGTTCCATTAATTAGCTGGAATTTTTATAAAAAATTAAACCTACTGTTTTAAATGGAGCAGGAATTGTAAATAAACCAATATTACAAATATGCAAACTTAAGTATATTAGAAAAATTCAAATACATCATAATGTTTCTTTACTCTTCGATTACTAGATGTTAATTAGTCATGGCATACATTTACTAAAAAATTCATAGAAGCTTTTAGCATCGAACAAAATAAATAGGGCGTTGCCTATACATAACTAAAAATTTCATAATACTATGTAATCGTTTTATAATTGGTCACTTAGTATTCAGCCAATTCAAACTAAAATAGCAATAAAAAGTCCTCGTGTTCATAACAGCAACTATAAAAAAGGAACTTTCGTAATAAATATTTAATGATACAAATATTTTCGGATTACTACGCGCCATTTTATTATTTTTAAAAACTATACATATACTCTCGACGTTTCGGTAACTTTGCAGCAAACTTTTGATCACGGACAGTCGAAATGTCTCGAAAGTATGTAGTTTTTAAAAATACGCTTAGTAATCCGAAAATATTACTTTCCTTTAAATGAATACTCACGTGAATCTAAAATCTTAATATTTAATGGTTCTTAAAATTCTACGATCTTTTCCAATGAAGAGTACATATACATATACATACTTACTTATGGGCTGAAGTTGAACTTCTACTTCCTCAGTGAAAGTGCTGTCAAACTGAGACGTTTATGGACTTTTGTATAAATTTCGTCATGAAAATGAACTTCGTCTTTTCTCCACACAGTACCTACTCTAGATTATAATTCGTTCAAGAAATAAAAACGTTGACATTGGCAAATTTTTCTATGATTCCAGTGTAAATAAATCTATAGTTAAAAAAATTCGTCATTACGATTGAGACATATAAATTGTAAATGTTTTATTTATCATAAACTAGACCTGGCGAACTTTGTATCGCTCTAAAATCAAGAAATATCTATTACGTTTCTTTATTTATATTTTTGGAGTTTACTAATGTTTAGTTTTTTGGTTAATGATTGACATATTAGTTATTTGTCAAATCTAATGTCAAAAAGAACGTTTGTATGGGAAATAGAAAAGGGCTATTTTTATGGTTTTCCCAGTAATGAATCAATTTTTCTCACCTTTTAAACCTTCCCTGAACCTCCACGAACATTTCAAGACTAAGATAAAATAATTCCGTTCAGATGTTCTCAAGTTTTAGCGAGACTAAGGAACAGCAATCCATTTTTATATATATAGAAGATAGAAGATTTCTTACAAATATCAAATTGTTATCCATACGTCATTACATATCTGTCATTATACGTCAATTGCATAGCTGTCAATTGTGTTTCGTTATTCCACGTTTTATAGTGACTGACGTTTCAAGTCAAGTCTCACGGGAATGCTGTCGAACGGGATAAAAAGTATCCTATTGGAATTTCCTGGTTCTGAACTACCTCCCTGCCAATTTTCAGCTAAATCGGTTCCGCCGTTCTTGGGTTATAAGTGGAGTAACTACCACAACTTTCTTTTATATATATAGATATATTGCTCTATGAGTTAAATTACTGGTAGACGTAAGAAAACCAAAAATTAAATATTTTCCACTGGACCAAGATACAATATGTTACTTTTGTTATTTTTATCCATATTGAGGACACTGTAAAGTTAATAGCTTAGAAAACCAATCTGACAGTTCGAAAGGTGCAAACAATTATTTTTAACTTAAATTTTTATGTAGCAGATATTATAATTGTAATATAGAAGATGTTTTGCCACAGTTATTAGAGTTTTTCAGATTTTCGGGTCTTTCATTTTATTTCTTAGTAGGTTATACGTATCGAAAGTTGCATGCCCTACCCAATGACTTTAATATTTGACAGATGCAAAGTTAAAAATACAAGATAGAGCAACATTATGTGACTCGTTTAAATGGTAACTTCAAACTTGTGATTTTATTGCAAGATCTTGTACAGTTTAATAAAGTACTAAAATTCTAAATGACTTTTGTCTATAAAATAGATCAAAACAATGTTATTAAAAGCAGTTATCATTTTCAGGATATAAATAACACGAAAAACGAGTTTATAATGCTTCACACACTTTTTAATTTCTATTACCGTCCTTCCGTGAAATCAGATGTCCAAATTAAAGCAACTTGTTCTCTAGTTTGCGATCCAGATCTGCTAGTTCTCCAACGAGATTTTTGTATTCTTGAGTTTGCATAGCCCTAATGAGATCGGGTAGGTCTAAGTATTGGTCGACTGCAGCTAGAATAGATTTCTCATGTTTTCTCAGACGGTGTGCCAGACTTCCAGCTGATAGTAAGATATCGCCACGTTTTCTCAGGAAACTATTGCTGCTAAGCGACGATTCTACAGCGGCGTTACAGGTTTCTACATCAGTACCTGGGCACAAGACATCTATGACTGAGTAAACCTGAAAGTTAAATGTTATATTAATCCACGATATTAATATTAAATATGGACAAGATATATCATTATTACTGACTGGCAGAACTTTAGTGTTGACTACAGATAATAAATTATTAAGCGGATCAGCCGCCACTCCGTTATAATCTTCCCATACGGCTGGTGCTACTTCTTGTAATACAGATAACGGATCGTACTTGGCGCCGATTGGTTCTACAGATTTACCGACAGCTAAGGTAACACCTGCCAGAACACCAGCGGAGAGATGCAAACGGGCGGAAGGAACCGTCAAGTTATTAGTATCACGAGGACTGAAATATAATGATTATTAACTTCTAGTTAAATCTGTAGTATTTTGGGTATATGTGAAAATTGAAGACAACTCACACCAAATCTTGGAGCATAAGTCGGACGTATGTTAAATCTGTTCTAGCTTGTACGAACGGGTGGGATCCATGCCTATCAACGCATAAGCCGCCTCCCACCAATGCAACCAGCACAAATAAACCAAACATGATGTTGACTTGAAAATATAAAGTGGCCATTACTATTCCTTTGTCAGGACTTAAACATTGTTCCGTATAATTGACACAAAAATTAAAACACGAACTCTTTTAACAATTTAAAAGTTAGCAGTAAATATAAATTTCAGTATTATGTTATTAGTATTATAAAATATAATTGTATATTTATAACAAAAGCAATATTTAAATATCTATATATGCAGTTGAATTAAACTCACCGGTACTTGAAGCCTATAGATGATATAATTTGCAGCAACAAATATTTATATGGGCTTTAATTAGCAACGATCATTTGTATTGACTTATAAATGTCAGATGTTGCAAACATTTTCATTCATTTTAAGTTGTGTTATTTTTTTTTTAATTTTGAAAATGTCACGACAATTTTCTACTGTTTAAAACACAAACGATAGATTGTGGATCAAAACGGTTAAAAAAATGAAAAACACTTTCAAACAAAAATATTAAAAATTGGTTTTTTTTTAAATAATTATATGAAGTAATAATTTAAATATTACCAAACATTCGCAGGGCAGTAGAGTACGAAATCTAATTTATATAAAATATTTTATAAATTTAGCGACTCGAGCACAGGCTCGTAAGTACATATAAACTTTAGTAATTTTATGCAATTTTCAAAGAAATCGAGAATTTTGTTGCTTCGATTGTCTCTATACGAGAAAAATGATAACTATATATTAAATCAACAGTTGTGTTTGTAATATACATCTAAACATGCAAATCTTAACAAAGAAAAAAATAAATTAAGAAGATTATTCAGCGTTAACATAATTAAATGTAAATATGTTTATTCTTATTTTAAGATATTATTCTTAGAAATAAACTTGTGAAAATATTATATTTAGGGTGACTGGTGAATTACCATCGATACTTGAGGACGTTATATTTGACGATCATATATGACAAAATAAAAATTAATATAACATAAATATTAATAAACTTCTAAGTAAAGTTAACCAAAAGTTATGTAAATAATTATTATGCATCGTGTGAACACCCTACAGATTAGGTATACACACACACTCACACATACGAGTGCGGCGGCGTAGAGTTGTATCAGCACGCCGCCGCACGCGTCCACACTTGGAACACTTGGAACGTGTCAACACTTTATGTATTTATACGGAAATTTTGTCAAAAATTAAGTGCCTATTTTTTTTACATAATTCGAATGAGAATCATGTACCCAGTATTCTCCTTAAATATTGATAGTAATTCACCAGTCACCCTGTATATTTTGGAGCTCTTATCGAAAAAAGTTTTTGTTTTCCTTGCCTTCACTTATATGTAATCCTTTAAATTGTGTATAACTTGTGTAAAATGTTCAGCTTTCCTTACATTTTACGTCCTATTTCATACTTTAATGCAGTGTGAAAAATAATTTATTATTTAGCCTATTTTTATGGTAATTTTCTGAATTAGGAACGATAAGATTGGAGATTTGAAAAAAGAAATAATAAAAAATCTTGCAGACATTTGTACTATACAAAATGTCGATGTTTGTTTAATTGGGTGTCAGAGGGAACGATTGCTGGTTTACTTCAAATACCTTTTTGCATTCTAAATGTTGTAAGTGAGATTGAGAAAGAGATTGTATTAAATGTAAAATCTTAAGAGTATTGAGGTCAGATTGTGTTAAACTAGCCAACATAATTCATCAATAGGTTGAGCCATTGGAGTTTAATGAAGCATTTGAGTCCAATATCCACCAACTAATTTTATTAGATCAGTTCTAATGCAAGGAAACAAATAAGCGTATGATAATTAATATTTAATAAATATAATAATTATTAATATCGGGAATAAGATGTGTCAAAGGAATGCTTTCGTGGAAGTCTGCAGGTTAAAGAAAGATTACAATAAACAGATAATATAGATAATCTTAGTGTTTCAACGCAGGGAGACATCATTTCTGTATAACAAACATGCCGACTATCCCTATGGTGATTTTTTTCTTTAGTTGATGGATTCCTCTTAGTATCGCTGACGAAGTTACGTAGGGTGAAGAATGTGGGAACATCTTTGTTATTCTATACTATTTCGCTATCTCTTAAAATTACTATTACTCTAGCATCCATGGTTGTTTATAAGTTATATATTTTATACTTTAAGATAATTTTGAGACCTTAAAATTTCTAAGGTATGCCTACTTCCTTTGTGTGTTTTATTCTTTGTAGAGAGGGAAAGTTCTGACGAGTAATTTTTACGAATCATTGGACACATACTACCTAAGCCACTGGTTTTTTTCACCTATTTGCGAAATGTAGAAAAGTTTTCCCACTGTCTTATTAACACCAAATATAAAGATACCATATATACCACATTGATTGACATTTAGTTGCAATTCATTCTGATGTACACAAGTGGATGGTCAGATCAAATCACAATTGCGTAAATTGCAAGAAATATTTGCATGTTGTTTCTCCGGCATATCAATAAGCATATTCGAATCTACAGCGGAGTCACTGAAAACCTTTTATGTTTATTTAAAGAACCGATTAGTTTGAGTATCTGAGCTGCTTGAATATTTTGGTTTCTTGATTATTGCAACGGGAGCCTGATTGTCCAACAAAACTACAACACCTAGGTACAACTTAATTATAGTTCTTAACTTAAGGAATTTTCAAGAATAAGTACTTAATTAAGATAATAAGGACCTAATAAACTACAGGAACAGTAAATTAAAACAAAATTACTATACTATTGTCATTTTATTTACCCTACAGTAATTATTTATTACATATATGGCAATCTTATCGCATGTGAAGTAAAAAAAGTCATATTGACTTTATTAGATTTCATTCTGTTAATTTACAATTCAATAGAATTTTGTTAATACTTTAACATTATTGTAAAAAAATATACTCATTTGTATTTGGTTACTAAACCTAAATAATTTTCTTCAATATCACATAAGTTCTTGCAACTTTTCTTACGATTTCCATAATTGTTTTATCAAGAATATGTTCTGTTAAATATTGCTTTACTCTTTGAGTGTCTGTGAGACTGTTGACGAGAGCTTCTGTTTGCATAATTTTTTTGGAGATCTTCCCTACATGTATGAACAGTTGTGCCGGTCTTCGGTAGATTAATGGATTGTCTTTAATAGCAGCATTCATTTTACTATTGCAGGACAGATGTTCTTCGCATATTGTGCTTAAAAGCCGTTGTACTTGTTCCAATAAAATAAATAATCGACAAATTTTGCTTAACATACTTGTAAATGTATGAGATATTTTGTTGTCTAAATATCTGAATAAATTTAGCTTAAAAGTTTACATAAAAACAGTCTTAACTTGTTTTATATTGTACATATTCATAATCAAACTTTAATATTCTTTTAAATGACTACAAGTTCAATTTTTCTAGTCACCTCAAGAATAATGTCTTTGAATTCATTTAATGTTGTATTATAGTTTCTTACAGCATACTCTATATGATCATATAATGATGAAAACGGATCAAAGTTTTTTGAATCCACGATATAGTCTTGTGCTAATCTTCCAATTACTCCTAATATTATCGCATAGGATGCAACGTCTGATTTTTCGGGACTCCTGTAATAAAACAATATTTATATAAATCTTGCCTTTATAATAATATTTAAAAGTCAATTTGTATTAATTTTTTTAAACATATAACTTACAAATGATTCATCACGTGCTGCTTGGCGATTGTGATTGACTGATTAGATTCAAAATATAATGATATAAAATTAGGTATGAAAGTATCTTCATCTTTTTCAGCTGAAACTGCACTGAGAAACAGAATTAGACAAAATAATCTATTCATACTTTAAATCTGTATTGGATATTTAAAATGTATAGACGAATTCATCAATGCATCTGTCACTTCGATGGAAACGTTTTAAGACTTACTTTTAATAATTTTGTTCTGCGTACATGATTCCAAAACAATGCCTTAATTATACGGAATATACTGAATTATAAAAGATATTTGTACAGACAACAAAAGAAATAATTCGGAGTGAAATACCACTAAATTTGAAATTCAGTAACCTGAGCTGAGCTACGAAAGGTTATGCAATATTATTTACCTTCCTGGAGTCATGGATGTAAATGTGAGTGTATGTAGAAAGCGGAACATGAAGGGATATAAATAAGAAAACTGAAAATGGTGGCCCGTCTATTTTTTTTATAAAAACCAACCTATCTGGGCTATAGAACAACAAAACCCTTGATTCGATTGGACATTCGGTTGCCGACATCATCTTTGTGGGTGAAGGAGTCAAGACGCCAGTGGCCAAAACTCAAGTGGCCAGTATATCGTACCGCTCGCTTCGTTCGCTTCGTTCAATTAAAAACTTTCATCAAATAATATACTGAATTTCATTAGCAACATATTAAATGTTTGAATAATAAAAATACATGTTGTATTTTTATTATTTGAATTGATTATGAATTGTTTTAATAAAACTACCTTTAAACGTATGTACATGTGTGTAGTCATTGAAAAGAATTTTTAATTAAATCGCTTAAAATATAAAAAAAGAGCTAATGATTTAAGTTTTGTCTCTGTGTATTGTACTGCATACCCTTTTTTACTTATAGTTGCATCAAATGTTTATTTTAATATATTTTTTTATATATTTTAAATATAATAACGTTACATATGGAAGGTATAAATTTTTAAACGGTTTTAATTTTTTTCATTATATTATTCAAGCATGAAAAGGCCTGATAGCGTCTTATTTAATTTGCGAATCTAATTAGAAATATAACATTTTAAAATTATTGTATTTGTTTTTTTCATTTATTACTTAAAATTCAGAGTTTTTCTTTTACGGCCTTGAATGATTAAGTGTCTCAAATTGTTCATTATACAATTAAGAAAATTATATTTTATGTAGCAGAAATAATTGATTATCTGTGATCCGTTTTATTTCTTGTTCTGGTTTAACAGACAAGATCAACCTCACTTTGGTTGTTTTGGTCACCCATCCAAAATCTGACCGCATCCAGATCGCATCGCATTAATGTCATATGTTTAATATTTGCATCTTATACAAAAGTACAATAAGATGGATGTTACTAGATTTGATTTGACCAAAATACTAGATCATAATAATATATAAATTAATTAACTTTTTGTGAAATATAGTATATAAAAGTTAATATATATTTTACGGTTTTTACAAAGTGCAATGTAGGAAAAGAGATATATCATATTAGTGCCAATGTTGAGATGCCAAAACTATAAGCTGAAATAAAAAAAACACATAATGAAAAATGAAAACACTAGTCCGAGATCCTATTTCGGCTTAATTTAAAAAAATACAAACTATTGGTTGACAACATAACATAAAAAAAATATTACTAGAGAATTGATATTGATTTCAGAATAATTATAAGAAAGGCTTTAATTTTAGTCGATCAATAATACTATTTATTAACTATCGTGTTAATTGAATGCCTAATGAACCATTCTATATTGGCCTGTTTTTGTCACCAGTTTATGTTTAGAGAGGTTTTTTTCTCCCGAGGGTCGTATTAGCTTCAAGGATTTTTTCAACTTTATCCATGGTCATATTTTTTTACTATTTGCTGAAAATGTGATATAATATGAAATATATGGAATAATTTTAATATGATTTTTTTATGTATGATAAACATTTTATACAAAAATAAACCTCATTGACAAAAATTGTATTTGAGAGCATATACACTAATGTAATAAAAATGAAAATACATGCATTTATAATTTAATTAAAAGTCAATTTATTCTATATACCGTTATTGTTTTGATGATAGATAGGTTAAAAAATAAAATAAACCAAATAATTAATATGTTGTCAAGTGAAATTCAATTTGATTTTTTTTAGGATAAAAATAATGCTATCAGTGTAGATGCATTGTTTTTTTATTCATATATGTTAAATAAACAATAAAAGGTATTCCAAATTTTTTAATGTTATGCTTTTAATTTTGAATTCATATTATTAATTTATGTATAAACTTATGAATATATTTTTTTAAGAACATGAAATATAAATCTTTAAAGTAACATAGGCAAGAAAAAATTTACTTGTGGGGAATAATATTTGTAACAGTTTTTTTAAACTGTGTTTCTCATAATTTATTGTTTGAAATTTTATTTATAAATGTTTTATTTTTATATATCCTGTAATATGCAGAACATGTCTATTAATTTTTTTATGGATAATGTATAAGGGAGTATATGTATTTTTTATTACATTAAGATAGTGGCATATGGAAATTGAAATCCAAAAAGACATTTGCTTCACACACGTTTTATTTCTAAAGCGATTCCAAACGTCCAGTGTTCGAGTTTCGTTTTTTATCAATTATTTAACAACCTTCTGAATTGTACGCCTTTTGCTTCATGCTTAAGATTCGCTAGTTCCCTAATGAAAGCTTTGAACTCTGGCGTATCAACATTATGTAAGAGATAAGAAACTTCTCCGTGGTCTTTGGTCACTTCTTCGACGGTATCCTGGTTGTTTAGAATGACTTGTGAAACTTTACCAAGATTTAACAGTAGCTTCGCTGCAGGCCCGAAAAGAACAGGCTCTTCGTTCACCTTATCTTGAACAAGTTTATTGCAGTCCGAGACACTATTTGAAGAACATACGAGAGCCATATAATCGGTTACCTGAAAATTAAAATAATTTTTAGTCGTATTCAGGTATCTGATCCAAGATAAAAAAATCTTTAAAAAAATGCATGAAAATTAGATTAAAAAAAACGCTACTTTGTTTTCTTAACACTCAAAAGAAAATTATTGCAAAATTGTTTTCAAATTTTTTCCCTATTAAATAAATATGATTCACACATACCAATTGAACTTTAAGATCCAAGTCTGATACTTCTAGCTGCGCTTCAGTTGCTATTTTCAAATAGTTTCTCAATGAAGCTGGGACGCTCTTGGCCAAGACAAGCAAGTTGTCTTCATCTTTATCAACTGCGTCAACCAAATCAGATACAACTCCGGTGAGGACTCCAAAACCTAAGTTTTGCCTTTGAGCGGGATCGTGGATGTCTCTCGGTTGCAATGGTCTGGAAAACGAGTTAAGATTTATAACTGGACTTGCACATCTATTTATTGAACGAATTTGGGATAAACGATCTACCCTAAAACGCGTTACATGTCTAATGATGTTTTCCAAGAGATTTAAGTTTTTGGATGGCATTTTATTTCAACTACCGATTTTAGGTGAATGTGCTGATGCAAATATTATCCAAAAGATCTCATTATCACTCACAGGTTGCTTTGTACCAAGTATTTCGCCTGGGTGAACTGTTCATTCGCTTGGACATATGGAGGAGCAGGTCTAAGAGCCCCGTTAGGCTCCGGTATGGCTGTACAAGCTCCGACCACCAAAAGTACGATATACGTTCCAATCATGATGTTCTAGTACCTGTAAATATTTTTATAGGTAGCCGTTATGACTTTTTCTTTCATTTTTATTCTCATTATTATAAGATTTTTAATTATGTTTAGAAATTTAATGGTATACACTCACCACTACAACGTGAAGCAACTGGATAGTAAAATAAATATATGAAAACCTTATTTATACTCTCAACAATTAGCTACAATTTTACGTTTCTATATATCACATATTAAGAACATTTTTGTAGACGCAAAAATATGTATGATAAAAAAACCGGATAAGTAATAACTTTTGTAACTTAAATAGTAAATTAATAGTAATAATTCTTTTCTTTTACAAGGCTTTTCTTTTGAATTTACAATAATAAAAGAAGAACACCTTCATAGAGACTCTTTTAAAATAATAAAGTTTTACTCATTACTTCTACTATTTACAGATACTCTTATAGATACTCTTTTAGAATTTTAGTCACTTACTTGTGAAAATGAAATTTTCATGAATAAAATTAAAAATGTTAACAACTTCTGATAGAATATTATTATACAGTTAAAATTGTATTAAACAAATAATTTACGCTTATTTACTCATTTTACGGTATATTTTATTATAAGATTATATTAATGAAGTATTTAGATAGAGAACGAAGTTCCCTACTAAAATTGTTGAAACAAGAAAAAGGATCAAATGGTTAAGGGTAATAACAATTAATTGATATGTGAATTCACAGTTATTTTAACGAGAAATACAAGTACTTAAAAAAAAACAAAGAAAAATAACCATATAAGATATTGTTATCTTTTTCTAAAATATCCTATTTATAAAAGAAATGGTAAGTCTAAATATAAGTGGTGAATTAAGGGACAGTCATTATAAAGATTTTTTTAATGAGAATTTCATGAAACGAGCAGACGGTCTACTTGATGGGCAGTAGTCACCTTCGCTCATGGACATCTGCAACATAAAGAATGTTGCTGATGCGTTGCCGACCTTGGTTATTAAGGATGAAAGGTAGGGAATAGAGAGAGACCAGGAAGGGATGGGAATAGGGAAAGGGCAACCGGCTATTATTTATCGGACAAATCGCAGCCATTAAAGACTACTTCATGCCAATGTTCTGTGAAAGGTTGGTACTTCCACGGTCAAGCTAGCCCATGTTCGAGCTATAGTAACTTGACCACAGCTAGCCTTTACCATCTTTGAATCCAATAAAATAAAAAAATCTTTTTCTATTAATAATTCTTATTATAAACTATTATATAATTCATATTTAACAAATCAAATCCAGCTTTTCTTCCATTATTAATGACTAGACGAACGTCGTTCAAGACGGAAGTATTATCAGTTCGTCTTTGTTAAGCATTTCCTAGCTTCTAATTGAGTGTTTATTCAGGCGTTAACTTTAATAATCTGTTATTGCCTTTTTAATATACCATTAAATTAATAAGAGATACTATTTAAGAATTATTTCTGATAGAAAATAAGAAATATTATTTTATGTTATTGACGTATGTGAAATTCAATCGCTTTTTAGATATCTAATGTATATTTTATTGTAATAATAATGAATTGCTTTTTGTGAGCCTATATTTTGAAGATTTTTAATGTTTTTATATATTTTTTTTCATTTTTCTTTAATTTTTAGCTTAAGATTTAAGAACAAATTAGAAAAAGATAAAATAAATTATACATACTATTTAATATATTTTATATTGTATTCATCAAATTAAACCGCGTTATTAAATAATTTAAATTGATACACAATTTCAACCAGGAGCGAGGATATTTTATACATACCAGATATGAAATTGATATAATAATTTCGATCTTTTCAGTGTGATGAATCTTATTATTTGATAATAATCAATAAACCTCTACCTGTATTTTTAACGATTTCTACAAGGACAAAAGACTATGAAAGTTTTGATTTAAATCTCGGTATCTCACTATAATTTGACTTATTCTGTCTACAGTTAAAATAATGATACATTCCTCATTACAAAGCGTGAGTAACTTTTCATGTAACATCCTTAAGTACCCGTAACATTATCACAAGCATTCATGCTTGTATTTCATGATCAGGATATTTCTAAGTCTTTTTTATGGTCATCATGCGAGGAGAATAAATGTTGAACCTCTGAATGTCCTTATAAATCTATTTCCTGAACTATATTTCCATGTCTAAACTGTGATTGCTTATTTTTGATGTATTCGTTTATATTTTAAAAAGCAGCTAGGAATAAAAATACCATTTGCTATTGTTAATTTCAGATTTTGTCCATATAAACGCTGATTATTCAAGAAACTTTAAATTTTTTCATAAAAAACAACTTAGACAAATTTTAGATAAGAAACGGCTTAAATTATGTGCCTAACTTTACCATCTTAAATGTTACTTTTGAAATTAAGAAACCAACCATACAAAATGGATATGATTGTAATTTTTGTAACAAAGCATTATTTTTTTAATATTTAATGTTGAAATAAATATGTATAATATGTATTTTATGATAGTTACACTTCTTAGGTTTTTTTTATAGAGACATTTCTCTAACTGTAAAGGCTAAAACGTATAAAGGTAATCTTTTACTAATTATTGTCTTTCAATCTATAAAAACGGGCCTAATGTGAATTATTGCAAAAAATATTGAACTAACAAGGATCACATACAGGTTTATAGAAAATGGATCCATCTGTCATATTTTAGTATGAAACAAAAATTTTTAAAAAATTGCTATTAAATTCTTGCTATTTTCATATTTAAATTCCGAGAATTTAAATAATTTATACTCTTTTTGTTGTAAATTATTATCAATGCTAACGATAAGTCAGGATACAGATCTACCACCTTTACCTATGTACATATTTAAAATAAAACCATAAGGCGGGGAAAAACTATGAAATAAATATAGTGATGAAATATGAAATTAAAAATATCTCAAGGACTCATTTTATAGTAAACTAACTAACTAAATATCTCATGTCTGTCATGTTTAGTAGTCATCTTTGCTATTAATCTATCGTATGGATCTGCATCAAAGCCTTGTTCTTAAAACGTTTAGACGGAATTAATCTAGACCAAGCACACTATAATATTGGAAGCATGTGTACATTTTCTCGGACCACTTTAGCGGTAATCGTATCCTTTACTATCAATCGATTTCAATTAGCACTATTTTAGTTTCTAAAATTGACTTCTAAATTTATCAGTCTAAAATCAGATTTATATTAACATATATTCCTAATTGATAGAAAAGTATTTGAACCTAGTTTTGTAACAAAAATGTTTCAATCAGTTATATAATAGTTACTTTATACACAACGCCAGATAAATAGAACATACTATTTCCGACTCCCGGTTTTTCATGTCTAAAACTTAATTTTCTTAAACAATAAAATAAGTTTTTTTTTGTTCTTTTGTTTAATAAGTTAGTAAGTTATATGCTTCGTATGCCTTATCGAGTATAAACTCATTTCTTTTGAGGTTGATGAAGAAACATAAACATTTACAAAGTTGTTATGTACTACATATGAAAAAAAAATGAACATCACCGGGGCGACATCCTTGAATCGGTAAAATATCATATAACGAGTGACACAAGCAATAGAATGCCATTGTCATCTTAACATGGGGGCAATCATGTTGTCTTAGGTATAGGTTATAAGTTTTAATATGTAATTCGTATTTTAATATACATATAAGTATGTTTCGTAGTTTTCCTGGAACCTCCGATTGTCGATATATATGTATAATTAAGACATTTATTCTTCGAAATCATATGAGTGACTAGCTTGAGAATAGTCCTTCAAAAATATCAATACTACCAGCTTACCAACATATTAACGCTGTCAATATCCAATACCCCAGTTTTTTTTAATTTCTTTGCCTTTCTTACTTCCTTGTTTTGGTTATTTATTATGTACCGATATTGCATACAGTCATACTTAGCTAAAGTTGTTGTTCTTTACAGTAGAAAACAAATAAAGTTTTATGTACCCCAATTTATAACTTGTGTTACCCCATTTTTTACGCTTTACCCCATGGACCTTTGGGGCTTGATCATTGCTCAAGCCAATTTAACATTACTTTTACAGAAGACATGCAAGAAAAATATATGTAAAATTACCTTTAACATGGAAAAAAGTGTCTTATTTATACAAAAAAAAAACTTATTCCGGAAACTTAAATTGGATTGAATAAAAAATTGCAAAATGGCTTTCTTTACAAAGAATAAATTCTGTTTCGTCAATCTTGAAAACTTTATCAACCAACTGTTTCAGTGACTGTTTTCGAAACTTCTTTGATACTTTTTTATTTGAGTTATGTTAAGTGATTTTACAGCCAAAGCTTACGCAATTATTTAAATATAAACTCCACTTTTTGTACTTCCTTATAATTTTATCTTTTATTTAGGTTTAAAGAAAAATAAAATAAATAACTGCTAATTGGAAATATTACTTTTTGAACCAATATGATAACCAATATGATAAAGGGTGCAATTACTGACTTACATTTTGTGGTTAATTATAATTAAGTTTGCCGACGTTGTTTCAGTTTTATCAGTAATGTTACTAACATTTTAGTGTAGTAAGTAATACAGTTGATTAGTTAGCTGTTAATATCATAAAAAATTTGAGCGGATGGTCCCGAATAGTGTAGTTTATGTGTGTGTGTAGTGTAGTGTCACTAAGAGTGACTATGGCGGTCATTGTATTGACAGCCGTCAAACGAAGTGCACCCGAATAAGCTATAGGCTCGTAATCCATTTGCATTTGATTAATTGAGTGTGATTTTAAATAACTGTGGCAAGCCGGGCCCCGTTTCCACGAATGTCAAGGCAATAGTAGTCTTCAACACAGTAGTAATATACGTTCTAAGCTTCCAGACACCTCTCAACATTTAAAAGAAACTGACGTGCTGAAGAAGATGATTATTCCAACTTGCTTTAAGTGTGACACTAAGTAGTCTGTGTGGCAATAAATGGCTGTCTGGCACAGACTGACGTTAGTGATATATTTTGTTTAAACTTGTGTGTCTTTTACGAAACATTTAGTTTTTTTAGTATATCAGAGCCCACTGCTAAGCAAAGACCTCTTACTCTCATGGAGAAGGTTTGAGCATTAATCGCCACGCTTGCTCAAGACGGGTGGGTGATTTCAAACTTATAATTGTGAATATAAATTATAAGTCCAGGTTTCCTCACGATGATATCATTCACCGCCTGTCAGTGGGGTATATATACATATATAATATTATATATAAATACTCTAAGAAAGTACATATGACTCGGAAAAATCATATTGGTACTCGCCAGGATCGAACTCGCCCCTCGGCAATGAGAGGAGGGCCCTTTAACCACTAGGCCACCACTTCTTATACATTTAGTTATATTTGGACTTAAAATTGGTAATCAATGAAAGTTGTTGTATAAGCTGATGAAATTTATGGAGGTATTATTAAAATGTTTTTTCATTAAATGTAAAAAAATATTTTGTATAACTTTAAAATTACTATTTTTTTTACTGTGTTGTTACATCGAAGAGTAACATATTACTAATTTTCATAATATATTTTTTAATTATTTATAATGAAAATAAAACACAATCGTAACTATCAATTATTATTATTGTTTTGTCTAAGCCGAGGTAATCTAAATTTTAACAGCGGTATTGATAATTGCGATGTACAAAATAAAAACAATTATCCGCTTGTATAAATAAGCAGAGTTCAAACGCGCTATCGTCGAAACTGAGGCGGGGTTGAAAGTTCACTGACTCCTTACCCCAACGGGAAATGAATTTCAGCCGCCGTGAAACTCGCGTCAATAGTGTTTATGCAGTTCTTATAGCAGTCAGCTGTTTGTATATCAGAGTGTCATCCAAAACAAATAGATTTTTTGTACTACAGAAATGTAACCCGATATTTGAAAAGTTTTGTGCCCTTTATTGTAATTGTTGCTCATTCACTTTTATTTTCCATATGTAAAAGATTAAACAAAAATAACACGGTAATTAAAATATTAAAGATGTGTTATATTATCGGATATTCCTTGTTTTCTTTGATGTGTTTGAAATACAAAATTTTGCCTTTTTAACAAAACTTTAAACTGAGAGCACAGGAATTAAAAGGAAATTAAAAAGAAATAAGCAAGAAGAGGAATCATGTTACTGTTGTATATAATTTATTTTTTAATTTTCAGATTGCAACCTCCACTGCACTGAGATTAATCATAATTGGATTTCATATTTTCTGTTTGAGGATTAAAAACGTCTTCGTAGGTTTATTTAAGCATATGAAACTAATAATATGTATATAGGATTGTGAAAAGATTACTTTTAATTTTTATAGAGTTATAAATACATATATATGTATACTATCAGTATAAAATATTACAACGTCAAAGTTTATATTATATGTATATTAAAGCCACAGTGATCATAGTTTTGTGAACGACCTCAGGTCATATGAGAAGTTAAGTTTTCAAAACATTTTAAGTACATCTTTTATTGGTCGTTAAGACGTCTCTTGAAAGAATAAAATTGTTGAACAGAATTCTGCTCTTAACCCAACTGGTTTAATATTACACCCTTGGGATAAAATAAAAGTGTAAAAATATTTACTTTTACTAATGTATATAAAATTAGTATTGTTTATTTATTAGTCATTCTAATCTTATTTAAAGATAGTGTATGTATATGCATTTTTTTTGTAAAGCGTATGGCTATATGAATTATTTATTTGCGTCAGTAAGTCATGCAAGTTCATTGACCTCTATGCAGCTATCGGCTTATAGCGCAATAAATAATGTTACATATATACATTTAATTTATATATATATTCATAAGTAGTAAGCAGTAATTAGTTAGCAACTAGCTCACAGTAAAAGTTCTTATTGTATATATGCTACAATGGGTGATTTTTAACTCTAACACAAATATTTCTGAGTAGTTTTTTACCAAACTTGAGAATATTACGATTACATCGATAGAAATTTGTTTCATTGTTTAATATAGCCATAAAAATAGTAACAGCGTAAATATGGACGTACAACGTCGTATGATTTATCACAATATGAGTGGTAATCAATTTACTCAGTGAAATTCTAACAAAGTTACACGTTGAAAGCCCCGAGGATGGTAACTAGTTTTAATACAATTTGCAGGCTTATATTGGATCGTGTGATATTCAGGTTACCAGTCATTAATACTGGATAACAGATTGATTTAGTCAGGTATATAACTAGAGTTTAACCTAACGAGATTAACAAACCTTATTTCCTCGGAGCCAGAGCTTAAGACGATTACCTAGCTGTAAAATTCACGACATAGTTTATTAAGTATTCGAGGTTAAATAAAACAAAATAATTCTTTCATAATTATAATTAATGGATATTTTAAAATGCATCGTTCGGCACGCGGAGGTACCATTTACATGTCTTTATCTAAACATACATTTAGAATATTTTTTTTAATTATAATTTTGTTAATAAATAATAATTTAACAATAAAGTTAGGACCCGTTTCTATATTCTAGTTTACTTGAAAACGTAATTACGAAGGAAAATGAAATTCTAACTTATAATATACTTTTATACTTTGACATGAGAAGGTTTTTTTGTTGGAGTAAGAAATTATAGAGACGTGGCGGAGTTCATTTCGAATAACAGCCAAAGGACAACATCGACAAATCTGAACATCGATCCATAAAAAACGCTGAAACTTTGATAAGCGAATGAATCTAATATTTCCTATAATTTACATATGTATGTCGACTACAGTCTACGTACACTTAGAAAATCTACATAATTACAAACTTCCCCTAAGAATCTAGACTTTTAGAGTTCTTCAAAGATCGTGTGAATGGTGCTTTCGTTTTCTTCTTATCTGTATCTGTAGATGTTTGGCTGAATCCAGGGGCTTTTGTTATTGGAGCGCTATTCCCGGGGGACACTCCGCTGTCAGTACTGACTGATGCTGGGCTTGGACTGTCGCTAGCGTTATTACAAACAGACAACTCCTGACCAGGTATCGCCACGATCTGTCCAATCTGTTTTTGCCTGACAATATTCATTTGGCACTTCATTTCATCGGTATCCTTTTTGTATCTGGTTAAAGTACCAGCTGAACCCGCTGATTGGGCTCGGTACATCATGTATTGGGATTGCGGATAGTATTGCAACTCTTGACCCGGTAGCCAAGGCATTGTGGAAACCACTGGTGGCATGTGAGGCCACATTGGCATCTGCACGTGAGATCCATCAGCTAAGCCGAACGGAGCCATCGGCATCGGTCTTACAACTCCTACTGGTGTCGGAGCACTGTGAGGTCTTAACGCTGGATGACCGTATTGACCGTATTCCTCCCCTTCGTATATCCTCGGACTTGGGACTTGAGAATAATCTACATTAGGAAACACCGTGTGAGGCCCACGTTGTAGATATGTGAACATCTGCTGCTGGGCTTGTTTCATTGCCACGTATTGCTGGAGATGCATAGCAGTTTGTTGCCTTTGTTGAGCCAGTTCATGTTGGTGTGGTGTCCCAGTTGCACTGGTTGTGTTGCCGTGTATGTAGTAAATTTGTGATTGTGTATTTGTTGCCTGTTGATTCTGAGTCTGAGTTTGGGTTGGTCTTTGATTTGGGTTATATTTATTGTCTACTACGTTATTCTGTGGGTCTTGATATTCTTCTGGTGGAGCGATGAACTTTGGCGGTGACGGTGGAGCTACTTGCTGTGTTATCGGATAATTTATGATCTGAGCTATATACGGCTGTTGAGATTTTGCTGAGTGAGCAGGGCTGTGAGTTTGGAATGTTGGATTATAAGTGATCTGAGAACCATCTTGACTAGAAGTAATTGATAACGTGTCGGAATCTTTTAGGTTCTTTTGGTTCTCGTTAACTTCGTTCTTTTTGGGTTTTTGATGGTACGGTGCAACTTTAGGATTGCTTTTCCAATTGGCTCCGGCACTTTGCGGTCGTTTGACTGGTGATTTACTGGGGTCGTGCCAGTTGTCTCCATTTATTTGTCGTGAATCAGGCGGGTGATGGGACTGAGCGCTGTGAGATCGTCTTGGTGGTGGAGACATTCCTTCTTGGACATGGGCCTGTCGGTAGCATCTTCTGACAGCACCAGGACTGTTCTGTCGTTCTGGTGGTTGGGGCGGTCTCGATATTCTTCGTCTAGCAGGTGTTGGTGGACTTGGTTGTGATAAAGAAGACTGAGTGGATTGGGAGGCAGACCTCCATTGATCTATGAGTTTTTTTCGACGTTCTTTTTCTATTCTCACTTCTGTCTCGCTAGATGAGTCGTAATCCTTGCCCTGTAGGAAAAATATTTGGTTCATTTTATTGCTAATATTATGAATTTAGTTACGCGTAAAGTTAGTCATTATGTACCTTATCGATCTTTTCGTCGAGAATTTTAAAGAAATCTTGCATACTGGCCGACACCTCACTGTAAATTAGAAATAATCTTATAGGATTCCTTATTCTATGCAAATTATCTAAATTAATATTTTACTTTTTTACCAAATATGTTATTTTAATGGTTTATTCTACTCACAGGGTAGGTGGATGTGCTGCCAATGGTAGAATATGTTTGCCATGTTCTGCGTCGTCTTCTTTATCATCGGTAGGTCCGGCACCAGCATTGCCCTCCTCTTCATCCGTCTCCTTATCAGCCGCGCCTGCATCCATTAATGCTTTGAAAAATTTTACATATAAATCTTACCGCTAAAGCAAAATCTCTAAGTATACAATTAGAAATAATTTTATGCAAAAATAGATTTTTTAATGTTGATAAAGATTATATAAATTTCCGAAAGTTATCCATAAATGTTTAGGATAATGATGTCCAAAGTGTCCATAACGATATCCCTGATAAATCGTTTTATGAAACTTGTTCCCGGGATATCTTTGTCAGATGAACAATTATGGAAGTTTATGTACAAAGTTGATCTCATTTTCTCACTCGTTAAGCAAGTATCAAAATTTTCAAGTAACAATACAGATTACGTTTACTTTCGACCCTTAAACAAACTGCGGTAACAAGGGTCGGCGAATTTTTGGCGGTGACATTCTTATAAATACAACACTGTTCACTATACCTAGTTGACTTTATGGCTTTGACAGGATCGTTGCCAAGAATTTTTTCCACATAAATATAATTTGCAGACAAGTTCAAGTACGTCAGTGTTTGATACTTAAGCTCCAAATAATAAGGTATTGTAAATAAGATAGGAAATATAATCCGTAATAGAAGTAGATAACTGAAATGGCCTGTCAAGTTAAATAACAATTGACTTTATATAAAATGTAAAGATTACATAAAAGCTTCTATTTATTCTGTAATATATCCTAGCCTATAATAGGAGTGAGTCGCCATTATTATATATCTCATTTAAACTATACATTTATGTATGTTCGTAGTTTTGTGGTCGCTTTTGTACATTTGATCTTGTCAGTGCGGTCTCCCAATAAATGTACTGTTATTTTTAAACTTTGGAAGCAAATTTCATGTGATGTACAATTAAGTATGCGTGATTGAAGGTTGGCTTTGAGTACAAAGATGGATATTAATTAAAAGTACTTTGAGTTCAAATGATATTTTAAGTTTAAAAAAAACTTTTTTATCAAACATGTATTTGTGTTCTTTAATGTTATTTATTGTAAAACATTGAGTGAATTAATTTCTCCGATCACAATATTTCACTGCGTTATATGTATGGTAGTATTAATTTATCCAGTTCTTGTAGTCCGTAATACTAATGAAACTTTTTATTTAACTTTGAACTTCAATGACTGTAACATGTTTGCTGACTAGATAAAGTTGCTGAGTTAATTAAAATATTATGACATACACACATACATGTATATATTATATACGAGACAGACGAGATGTAAATTTGAACCCGTTATCACGGTTTCTAAAAAGTAGCCATAACGTCGACATTCGACAGTATGTAGTTTTTATCAAAAATAAAGTAACGTAGTATATATCTGAAAATATTAGTTTTGGTTCAATTAATTAAACCTTTCGAAAATCTTACTTCTCATTAAATGAGTAAAATATTTAGTTTTGAATAATATATATTTTGATTTTCAAATCAAAAAGAACTGAGCAATCTACAAAAGATCGGGAAATAAATTAATCTTGTAATAACTATACATATAACTTGTAAGTTATAATTCATTTCGGTTTGACGTTGATATATTTGATTTAATATACAATTAGGAAAGAAATAAAATTTGCGTGGCGTTACAAGGACTAAGATAATAATTATTTTTCTTTTGTGTTAACAGAAGCCAGATGGCGATCAGTTTGATCGTAACGTGAGGTTATGTAGTTTTAAACGACTTGGTCTACATTCGGATTGGTTTTTCAAGGAATTCATTTTTGATATAATCACGATAAAATAATGATTCGATTGAAATTAGATCCAACTTTATGATCTGTCTATGAATTATTGAAAATATAAAATTTTTAATATTTCCTTTAGTACACATGAAAGTTTTATTTCTTTTTTTGTACTGACTATATTTAGAAATACAATGCGTTAAGTATTCTAAAGGTGTGAAAGTACTTGGGCGTTTGAATGTTTTTAGCGAAATCAGGGAGCCGTAAAATATCAGATACTCTCTTATCATTTATTTACGATGTTTCACCTATAAAATATGAGTAAGTGTCTTTTTATGACGAAATTGAGTACCTGTGATATGAATCAGAATTATCAGATGTTAAAAATACATAATGTTTTATTAAAAATTTCTAAATATATGAAATAAATAATTGATTATGAATGTGGAGTTAGTATATTAAAAACATAAAGTTTATTACTAATTTCGCGAATTGTGAACTAAATTCTAGATTACATATAAAAGTATATTTCAAACATTTCATATTTAGACTACAACACAATATTAACCGCAGATAATTATCTGTTTTGTTTGGGATATTACCGAATATTTAAAATTAGTTTACATTGATCTAAAACCTACTGAATACACTATTTATTATCTTGTTATAATTATCTTTATTTATGTAATCAGTGATACAAATATTTCAACATTTAAAATGACATTTCAAAAAGCTTTTCAAATGCACATTATTGAAATACTAAATGCAAATGGGAAATTCTGTGTTGTATAGTTGTATCTTTCTTTATTACTAAAGATTTTTCCGACACTAACGTGAAAGTTTTCTTCTAAAATCTACATGCTTTTAGCCTAAAAAAAATCGTATACATTTATACATTGATGAGCTACCACGCTATAAGATAGCTTGCTCTGATCAAAATATAACACAAATAAATAAGCATAATTAATTTGACGAAAAGATAGATGTATATATTTATAAGCATTAGTCTTATTTTTGAGACAATCCTCAAAAGTTTACCTAAAATAACCAATAGGAAGTCTTATTTAGCATTATCTTTTTATACATATTTATATACCAATTAGTTCATTAGCTGTTTCACTTTTAAAAACTTCTTATTTCATGCGATTGTAATGCAATGTGGTTTTATTATTTTATCACGCTTTTTGTTAGCACCTTCCTATATTGTACGGGACTGTGCTACTTTAGAATAGCTATAAAAATAAAGGTTCGTGTTAGCAGATATATAAAAAAGCCATTCTGTAGATTGGGATCAGTCCTCCGGGAGAAAACCGACCGTAGCTCTGAGATACATTGTAACGATACCGCTGGTTTTACTACTAAGAGGCTTGGCACACTTGGATGTTTCACTTCTTTAATGAATTAATTGAATATAGTAACAAAACTATTGCTCTTTACTTCGCTTGTTCATTTCACAGTAAAATATTTGCAAAAAAATATTGAATTAATTCGTTCTTTTTACATTCATTGAATAATAAAGGTCCCTTGAAGAATGGGCCCCCAAATAACAGTCGTAGTAAGTACCCTTCGTGTACATTAAAAACTTTATGATGGATACTCAACAGTTCCTTAGCACATTGAAAATATTAATAACAATAACTTCTATACGATCAAATAAAAGCAAATATACTATTCAAATAAAGTTTACTAAAGGGCTTTATATGTAATGAAACAAATATTTTAGTTTACAAAATCGTTAACAACGAATCTGGACTAATTAAAGTTAAAGGTTAAAGTTTTGGATGTTAATTATTATGTCAATATAAATTATGTTCCCAATTACTTCCTAACAAACTGTAGTTAAGAGTTTTCTTTATAATTAAATATATTTGATTAGATTTTTAATCAGTTAACTTGAATACAATAAACGATCAATTTTTAATATATTTTATTGGGTTATTAACCTTACTGTAATATTATCTTTCGTTAGCATTTTCAGACACAAATATTTTCGTTTCAGTGGTACTGATTATATTTGTTTTATTTCTGTAAACCCTAATGGCTTTTAGGGACATCGAAGTTGGTCAGACATAGTCCGACCTCCGCAATTAGATCTAAAAGGGTCCAACACCCGCCCTGTTACGACTCCATTGATATTCCTTTATATTCATTGTCAATAAAACATTAACAGAGTTTTATCAAATGAAATAACGTGTCTTGATTTAACAGCGTCGTATTGAATGGATCTTAATTTATAATCCTTTGAGCACCCGAGCGTAATACGACCCGTAGCGTACACAAAAGAACACCTGGCACTACAATGTGTTGAATAACTTTGAAATTTCAATACGTATTTAAAAATCAATGCATTTTATATATTAATGAATCACAGTGAAATTTTAAATCCGGCACGCTCTTGTTCCACATTACACGGTACAATCATAAACCTTGTTTTATTATGTACAAATCAATATTATCACTTCCTTTCATATTAATCTTTTACGTAGTTAGTTCGTTGCGGTCGCCCTAATTTCTACAATTCCATTTGGCCTGTATTTTCCTTCAGACACAATGGACCGCGAAAAATAGAATCTTTTGTAGTTTGTTATAACGTATAACTGGTTTATTCAGTAATAAACTGCATTGTTATTATGAGAAGTGATAAATAATAGGAAATGAATTAAGATAGAATATGAACTTCTTTAGGTACAAATGTTCAAATATACAACAATTTCACATATATTTTGATATTGTGAGATATCTATAATTGTAGAATTACATCGGCGGTAATGTTTAAAACTGGCACGGACAGTCTGCTGTCTATCCAGCCATCTATAAAACACGTTACATTTACAGCTTTGTTAATGTGAAATGTATTTTAACGACGTATATACGGAAAACTTCGTTATTCTGACGCTTTTTTTATATAATTCTTATCCTCTATCTATTGCGTTGTTATTCCATAGTTAAACACAACTTTGGTGGTCAGCAAGCGTAAAGTAATAAGGTTATTTGATCAAAGTCTTTTAACGCTAACTTGGTTTTGTAATTAATCTTAGTTACTTATAAATTTTATCTTATACTTTTATAAAATTTTTGTGTCGCGGTGTTAGACAGAGAACTCCTTCGAAACGGCTTGACCGATTTTTATGAAATTTTGTGAGCATATTGAGTAGGTCTGAGAATCGGCCAACATCTATTTTTCATACCCCTAACTCATAAGGGTTGTTCACCTTTAAATTGTTTTGGATGAAATTTTTTGTTTTTATTTTTTTATAATACTTATATCATTAAAAATACATACAATCCAAAATTTTTATCACCAACCCCAAACAACATTTGCGGGTCAGCTAGTTTATTATAATTATAATAAAGACTAAAGAATATAATTATGAAGTTTTTATTTTAAATATACTACCTATTATAGTACGTAAAATCTGATTTTGATTTTAATACTTTAATATTTTTGTCAGGAAAACGGAGTTGTATTACAAAAAGCGAGGATTACCCTTATTAAATATTAATACATCAAGATATTGGATTTCTTTTCTTGAGTTAAGATATTTACTTTTATTAACATTTGTAAGGGAAGTAAGAGGAGCGATTGAATGTGGTTATTATTCTCATAGCGGCTTGTAGGAGCATGTGTTACTACATAGATATCCTTAGACTGATTGAAGAGAAACAGAATAGGTCTCGGGATTTCCAAAAACGAAAGATCTTTAAAATATTATAACCATAACGATATGAAAATCTTTTCAGGAGTATTCATTTAAATAAAACTAAGGTTTTCGGATCTGACTTACTACATAATCCCGACGTTTGGGTTCCTTTGGAGCAACCGAAACGTCAGGATTAGGTATGTAATTGTAAGAAAATAGAAAACGAGAAGTAATCTCTGAAAACCTTAGTTTTATTTATTATGACTATAATTTTTATACATTATTATGACAGGAGCATCTTATTAATATTAGAAATTGAGATAACCTTACGAATTATACACTGTTAATATAAAAATTATTAAGGATCAAAAAGTAACGTTACATGTTACTAGTATATCTGTTCGTGAAATACCATATGCGGTAAAACTTCACGGGACGAAACTCTGTATAAAAAATATGTTTAAACAAATATAAGGAAACTATATTTTCCAGATCTGGTCAGAAATTAAGAAAACAAGAAGAGTTAAGATACAGTTTACGCTAGATTTTAAAGAAGTTGCAAGATTTAATAATCATCTCCTTGAAGAAAACACCACTGACTTATCAGTGACTTAATGCAAACGAAATATTTGAAGATAAATAAATCTTAGAATATCTAAATAACAATCTGTGTTACTTAATGTAGCGAGTAAATTGTTATTTTATATTTATATTTTATATTTATATTAAGTTATTCTGGCTGACCAAATATATGAACAAGAGATAAAAAAATATGAACAAATAGAATATGAAATGTATTTTTCAAATAAAAAATGCTGTTTTATTATTTAATATTAAAACACTTTAATAAAATAAACACTTTAAATAAAATTGGTGAGGGTAAGAAGTTCACAAATAAAATAATTCTGGTTTTTAAGATCAAATAAAAGAAATAAGAATCAAAGTCTAACAAAAATACTTTTTTGAGTCACAAATACCTACTTATTATAATGTACTGCAAATGAAATACTAAATTTATTTTGCAAAAAAATATTTTAAATGTATCTTTTGACCGCCAAGATTCCCTTCACGTTGAATGTATTCTTTGAATACACGGATCGCTTTCAGTACCTATGTATCGAGAATCTTTTTTGGGTAATTTATTGACTCAAAGATAAGGCACGGAAATTCATTGTTTTTGCAAAAGTTCTTCACTGTGGGACAACTTTTTTGAGTATATAAAATACATGTTCACTTGTCTATGGAATACTGCTGTCACATCTCACTATTTTGTACTCTGAGTAGAGTTCGAAAAAGGCTTCCTTGTGACCATGATTCGGCTAAAACTAATCTAGTAAGCCTTGAACAGACACGTAAATTTGTCAATTTCTCAATATACTACAGGAAACGTTTTGGAGAGAGTGCGCAAGAATTTTAAGCTTTAATTTCTGCATCTTCTTTTTTTATCTTACAACTAGAAGTACAGCAGGCCTTTGATCTTTCGTTTTAGATTTTTCTCACATCCGCTCAAAGATATACGCTAACTTCCTATGATTTTCATAAGCCGTTACTGAGTTGGTGCGTTGACCATCTATAACTGAATGATATGATAGTAAATTTATTTACTATCATTTAATTTTTCTTTTTCCAGTGCTCCAGTTCTCGGTTCCTTTAAATCTATGTTTTTCATAGACATCTACATAACATATTTTTTTATTTGTCGTACCATCGTCGGACTTATTTTAAGATATATATATGTATCTTGTGTAATAGCAAGGAATCAGCTTGCCAGAATAATTTAATCATGACTCAGGGTGAGTTAGATTGACATGTGTTTTCCTTCACCCTTCTGCCGCTGACATATCTCAAAAGGTGACTCGAATTAGTATGAAAATTATTATATATTTTTTAAAACAGAAAATATTCATAACAAAAATTTAGACAAATCCGAGATTAATTTAAATATGACGACATCCTCTTAATAATGGGTTATTTTAAAAATAAGCGATTTTAAATGGCAGGTGAAACCAAAACCAAATTATTTTGCTGTAAATAAAATGTTTTATTTTGTATCTCTGTAATTTGCGGTTTAAGGGAATAGCGCTTACGAAAATTTTGCTCTAAAATCCTTTTCAGAGATAAACATTAGTTATACATTTAATATGTACGATCTTTCTTATTTCAATGATAGTTTTAATTTATTTATATATCTTTAAGGATTGTTATATAAAAGATGTCAGTTTAGTAACAAGAAGAAATTCCTGTAAAAAGTGGTGAAAAATTATAAATGTCTGCTACAAAAGTAAATATTCCGTATACATACATAATAAAAATTTGTATGAAGCTGTCCCTTATGAATATTGTAGAGCACGTCTGCGAGGCGTACTAATGAAAGGTTTTATGCTACCAGTATACCCATACTACCAGATAAAGGCAATTTAGTCACAATTGTATGAGAAATCGATATTAAGAATACTTATAACCATATTTTACACTTATTTCTACTTTACTTATAAACTGCGGATTAAAGATTTGTCAGTTATATCTGTGGAATTATCTTAACCTCGTTTGTACTCTAACTTTTCTTGGATTCAGTAATTGGATGTTAGGATACTGTCGTTTGTGGGATAAGAACGAATGTCCCTTTGATATCTCGTTAGACATATTTCTTACTCAGACGAGTTATCCGAATGGGATGAAACAAAATATCTTTAAATTTCTGTTCGTACGTTTTATTTCCTGTTCAATATCCGTATTGAAACATAATTTAAATGTATCGATTCATGTATGTTTTGATTTTATAGTTTATAATAGACACGTATAGTGATTGGAAAAGAAAATTTTTGTTTTAATGTACGGAATATTTGAAGGTAAATTGTCTTTAGGATGAGTGAAGCTTAGTTATATTTATGTTTACTGAAAAAATCGAACAATGCTTTCGAGCCTGTAAGACACTTTTGAAAAACAACCTCTCCAATTTTATTTTAATACTTTAACAATTTCTTATTTCTACTCATTATTATAATTTAAAATCACTATTTTTTATTGTAACCAACACTAATATTAATTATATTGCATATAAATATAACGTCAAGCGTTATTGCTTACACAAAAACTTTTATCACTGAGGGATATCATAAATCTTTTGAAGTCTCAGACAACAATTTTAGATCGTAAATCAACAAAAACTGAAGTCTGTGGCCTGAATCATGAAATATTTTCTTACTTATGATAAAAGTTTATTTTACATACAAATAGTAGGTACGAAAGAAAATTAAGATGTCATTGGCGGTACATAGATGACAAAAAATAAGACTAATTGACAGACACTTTTATATCGTTTGACCATGACCACGGCCATCGTAAAGTAATCGAAATGAAAAAATAATAAATGAACATTTTATATCTGAAAATCATAGTTTCATTATATGTGTAATTCTTAGTTTACTGAAAAAATGATTTCGAAATTGGTACAGAGCTCATACAGAGATCATAATATTACGAGGCTAATTTTATTAAAGGTAAAATAACAATATCAATACTCTAATTCCTCATTGCTTTGTAATCTACTTCAATAATTTTGTTAATTTAGATCTAACGGTGAGCCACTTCATGTACCGTCTGTAGTCGAAGTCGGCAACATGTTTACAAATATCACAAATATCAAAAAGCCCGCCGGCATAACATTTCCGAGCCGATTCGGTATTAGAAAACAGAAAATTTACTTTGATCCAAAAAAAAGGTCACACAACAATCTTAACAAGAGTTCTTTTAATTATAAATTTATCCTAAATAAAAATAAACTCCATATAAATTAGAAGATTTTTATTCTTATTTTTTTACATATGATTCTCACCTGACTTTTTGGCACTATTCCCTTTCCCACCATTCTTATTTCTTCTCGGATACAGATTTATCTTGCTCTGACCGCACCCCATCACCGATTATATATTACATATCAATAATGTTTAAACACTTCACTTCACTTCACTTCACTTATATAACTTAGGGCTATTATTATCGGATAGCAAGCATTGTTAAAGGCTTAATTTAGGTTTTGTTTCTTGTATTCATCGAATCACCACTTTCAAGTTGCGACGTTCCTTGGATTTCCTGGAAAATAAAAAGTTGTCTCTTTTTATTAATGAAATTAATTGTTTTGTTTAACAACGAAGGAGTTTGGGACAAGTTGCAAAATGGGTACATTTATTTGTCTTTCGTTTAGCTGAAATTAATTTGGGTTGCTAATTTGTGTTTTGAGTGGATACACTTTTTTATAATTTTGAGGATCGGGGACAAATATTTTTACGTGCATGCATATGTTTCTTTATTATGAAGGAACAAATACTAGAACAGGATAACGTAATATTATTTTGATCGTGCCGTAACCCTTGTGCACTTGAAAATGGAGCAAGCTTAGGGGAATCATAAAAAGCGGTAGGTGGTATTTGTCACAATGAAGATATTAAGCAATGGCATGCTTTTTCGGACATACATAAGAGGTTACTTTATAAAAACTTACAGAAATGGGTCCTCTAGTAAGTCACTTGCTAGATATTATAACTACTATATATTTTAATCTACAACCTACAAGTTACACTAAAAATAATATTTAAAAATATTGTAAATTATTTGTTAGCTAATTGTAAAAATATTAGAAGTGTTACTTAAAAAATACTCTCAAGTTGTTACGGTTTTAATACACAAATAAAATAACTGAGATTCAGCAGTCTTGGTCATATTTATTTTTCAAAAAAATATCTTTGCTATTTTGGTGAAGCGATGAAAAACTTTGAAGTTTCAAGTAAAACGCGTATCTGAATCCTCTAACAAAACCCTTTTCGCACACGGAATATTAAAACGTATATGTACTACATACATTAAAGTATTATGTGATTATAAAAACCTTTCTTTTTTATAATATTAGATATTTTCAATGTTTGTATTAAATTTATTTTTATAAATAACAATTATACGAAATCCTTACAAACAAAAAAGACTTAACTGGCATTGATTCAACTCAAAAAAAAATTGTTATGAACGTCGGCATAAAATTAGCTCAATTAAACTTCTTATGGGTCGGAGTTTTGGGGGAAAAATTTAAACTTTTATATTAAGTGTACTTTTGGGGTAAATAAACCGTTTTGTTTTATGCTTCCATTCAATATCCTCGTTTGAGTTTATCTTGTTGTTGTCATAATAAAATATATATTTTTTAGATTTATGTGGAAGTAAATGTTTATTTATAGAGTGGGTTGAGGTTATCATGGTAACATACATTTAAAAAATATCCCCTGGCGTCATACACAGATAATATACACAAAACGAATGAAATAGTATCAAAATTTGCAGGTAAAATTTTGATTTTCATTTAACTGTAACAATTTTGTCATAAAATATTTGTAAATAAACAAAAACGGTGAAGGAAAACATTGTGAGGAAACCTGGACTTATAGTTTCACAATTATAAGTTTGAAATCACCAACCCGTTCTGAGCAAGCGTGGTGATTAATGCTCAAACCTTCTCCATGTGAGAGGCCTTTGCTCAGCAGTGGGCGTTAATAATTAAAAATATATATTTTAATTCCTCATGTCCCATAAAAATGCCACGACGTCTTGTAATATATTACCACAATGAGACGCAGAAATTTTATAATTCTGAAGGAAATACTTTAATTGCTTTTCACAGGTGTACAACTCAGAGACTATCTTGACAAGCTATTTATTATGTATCGATTAATTGTTGCAGTAATATTATTTCTCTTATCTAGTTGTAGAAATTAATAGCAATGTTATAGAAAATTTATATGCGGTATATTAAGCTAATTACGAAGATGACACTACAAAACACGGTACAATTTTGTAGAATTTTTTGTCTCTTTTTTCGTAAATGCGTTAATAAATAGAATTATATAATGTCCCTCACATTATATAATTTTATTTATTTATAAATTTTAAAAACATAACACTCTATATCTACTTCATATATATATATGTAAACTATTCAGAACTTTCAGATTTATGTGCTGAATCATAGCTTCGAACATTATCCTACCAAAAGACCAACAGGTGGATCAGATAATGGGAATTGGCTAGACTTATTTATTTGGCATTTTGTACCGTTTAGAGTGATTTATTTTGAAGCCGCATTGAAAACGTGCAACCTTTTGTATTGCTTTACAGAAATTATCGGTCTAAAAATGTTTACTGCACACTTTAAATAAATATATAAGTATCTAAAACATTTTAGTTATAGTTTTATTCTCAACGAAATAGAGCTTCTTCTTACAAGTGGTTAAGTTTACTTGCTTGTTTGTCAATTTCTAGAACAATATATGTACCCAATTAAAAATTCCGCATCGAACTAAACTCACAATGCCTGCTTGGTAAGTGGCCTCCTCGCAGCCCTCTGGGTCTGATAAAGGGCCCGAAGTCACTTATATGCTAAGTGTATCTTATTAACAATGAACTGTGTGCCGCGCGCAATGGACCTTTATCTATTGTTAGAGGAGTGCAACTTCATATATTTACTTTATAAGATTTAGGGGAGCCGTAATATAGAATGGAATTTAAACTATGTACATGTTCAAACATTTGTAATGAAAATATTTTCTAATAATTAATAACTTTTTAGATTACATTGAGAAACCTAGACTTTAAAATGGAGACTCATTGACCGTGTTTGGCTTGAATCACCATAGGTTCTATGACATATGTACAAGGAATGATTAGATGGTAATTTTTATAATTGCGGTCTTTTCAATGAGTATTTGGGCCGGCAGTCCTCAATTCCAGGATTGTAATATATTCTTTTTCTTCTAAAATGCCACTCTTAATCACGATTACACAACCGTTACTTTATAATAAGAGATAGGTTTTTCTTTGTCAATCAGATTGTGAGTTCATTTCAAAATATACGTAAATAACTAACAATATATTAACCATAAATATCATGGCATATATTAATAACTATTCTTTAACATCAAATGTTTGAAATTATGATGTAATTACAGTAAAATTGTAGCGGTATTTTAAATAAACAATCGGGGTTGGTTTACATCTAAAAATAGCATTTTATTTGAACTGAAATTAGCATGTACGGCGCCAAGAGACGTTACGAAACATCCGTCTTCCTTATAATATTTAACGCAAATGAACCATGAATTTGAAATGATGAAAATGTATAGCGTTTTAATAATTGATGACATTTAAACATCAGTTATACTAGCTGTTAAATGGATTAGGTACATCTCTACTAATATTATAAATGCTAAAGTAACTCTGTCTGTCGGTCTGTCTGTTACGCTTTCACGCCTAAACCATTGAACTGATTTTAATAAAATTTGGTACAAAGATAGAATTGACGTTGAGAAAGAACATAGGATAGTTTTTATCCCAGATTTTTGAAAGGTTCTTTTGTAAACGCGATATAACCGAACTCCACGCGGGCGAAGCTGCGGGCGGAAAGCTAGTAAGATATAAAGTTTAAACACAATAAAAACAAAAAGCAATCTATTAGAAAATAGATACGAAACTAAACTGCAATATTATTGACGTCCAACAGAAACCGTTGTAACTGTATTAAACAAATTGAATTTTCTATAAGCTGAGGCGAAAATAAACGATCCGCAGCACAGCTCGGGTATGCCGACGGTTATTGTTTGAAAGAAAAAAAAAATTGATTTGTTTTTACTAAAATATTTATGATGCGTACAAAGAGTAACGATAGCAGATGTTAAAACTGAAGATAAAAATGATTAAGGACGATATGTCGGTGAGAAGAAAAATAAACTGGTCATAAATACAGCGTTTACATTGTTTTAGTAATAAATCTTTGGTCAAGTATCTCTTAGTTTATAGCTGATGTATCCAGTACGTGATGTTATTTCAGAACGAATTCGACGGACCTGTTATTAATTGTTTGTTATGTGAATGCCGTTTATTAATAAAACAATCGAATAGTATTAAAAAAACAGCGCAAGTGACTGCGTTATCAGGTACTTTTAAATGTTATGTTCATTTTGTTGAATATTTATATAATTAAATCGTGTTAGTTACACTATTTATAACTCGCGAACGGCTGTATCGATTTGGCTGAAAGTTTGTTGGAATGTAGATTAAAACCAAGAGATAAACATAGGATTTTATATAATGACAGAGTTAAGGATTTTTCATCACGTTCGAACATATTCATGTGTTACATACACGTGACATAAAACGTCAAAGAGGATACAAGTACCTACCCATAAAACGTGATTTATATTCAGTTTATCCTTTATTTGCATTTAATTGAATTTGTGTTTTTTTAATTTACTAACAAAGTTGTGATTTCAGTCAAAGCTGTAGTTTTTTTTTACATTCATAAGTTAATCCCTGATCGTGTCTCCTCCATTCTACCCACTGGCAGAACATACTGTGCATGTCTTTGCACGCATGAAAGCCATATTTAAAAGTAACCATCAAAAAATCTGATTCTCTGAGTCTACTCCCGAAGTTTATACGAACGAAGTCGTGGGCACAAACTAGGAGTTTTATTGCTCATATCATGATTTTAACAAGATATTTATCTGAAACGGTTATAGTCTTAAAGAATTCTAACAACCAATGTGTTCGTTATAGAAATCGCTAACTTTCTTAAGGAAAATAATATACTTTCTAACTCAATAATTTCGGGATCCATTACCTTTGGTTGACATTTTTGATTGTGTAGGTTTACGTACTATTTGTGATATTGTAAAAAATATTAGAAAACATATTTAAAGTAAACGAATTGTATATAGGATTTCGAATTAGTAATTAAAATAAATGAACTGAATTTTATAAGTAAAAAAGTAACGACGTATGATATAATCCTCAAAAAAAAATCCAAATCGTATACGTACAATACAGAAGTGAAATGACATAAAAATATGCCTTTCACAGCATTTTTTATTGACAT